CGCCGCCGCCGCGCCGCCGCTGCTACTAGGGGTGCAAGTGGAGGTGTGGACAATATGTTCTATGTTTGTGGTTGCATCACAAATAGGCATCTCCTCAGCATGAATCCTTGCTTTCGCTCATCAAATCATGACCATTGAGCACCTCCCCCGATAGATCATGCGACCCACTCACAGCACAGAAGGCCACTGACTATGCATGGCTCATTTTGTGACTTCACGTTCCCAGCACCCAGACACACGACCAGAAGGCCACCCAGGTTAATATCTTCCCCCTATTAATAAATACCCCCCCCCCCCCCTCCCCTATTATAAATAAATCCTCCCAAAAATGTATTGTTTTTTAATTGGGGTTTTTGGGGTTGGGTTTTTTTGCTTTTCCAACAATGTGAGGGTTCACATAGGATTTGGAGGAAATGGATTGAATTGTAAGGTCCGCGAGTAAGCAGTTGAATAAGGAAGTTTTATGCTTTTTCTATTTGTTTTTCAGTTTACTGGTTGTTTGTTTGCAGCAGGCAGGTTAGCCAGCATGTACGGGGGGAGAGACAGTCGCAGCTTAAAAGTGGGGCTGGAAGCTTGTTAAAAGTGCCCCCTAATAAGGATTCCAAGACTTTAGTATTGGTTTAGTATTGGCGCAATTAAAAATCAATTGTGCGGAGTGGAATCTGGTCCCGGCCCCCGGATTTCCATTTTTTTATTAATTGGGGTCATTCATTAATAGGGGGAAGAGATTACTTTGTGGTTGCATTTTTGTTTGTCTCGAATTGTATCATCACTGAGGTGTCCAGAGGTTGAGTGACATGTTCGCTATAGCTCAAACGAACTGAGCCTCCAGCGGGCTTGTGCCGGGCTTGCTGACACTGTGGCCCCAGTATTTGCGGTTCGCTTGTTTGTTCTCTTGTTTGTTCGCTTGCTTCTTGGTTTGTTGGTTTGTTTGTTCTTTTTCTTGATCGCTTGCTTGTTTCTTGTTTATTTGCGTGCTTGGTTTTGAACAACCACTATCATGTGATGCGCTTGGGAAATCATTTGTTTACGGCCAGGAACGCGTGTCAGAGAAACGCAGCTCTGGCGATGGCGGTTTGCTCAGCCCCGCCTCTGCCGCTCGGCGCCAGCTTGTCCGAAGGGCCCATGTTGCCATCTACTGATCGTGCGGCTGGGAAGGACCAATTCGTTCAAGACCCAGGTGTGAATGATTGCCTTGGCCAGATAATATTCATGGCTGTTTGTTACTTTTGCACCTAATTCGTCGTATTGTGGTGTAGGCGTTGCCAAGCCGCTCGACACATGGTTATGTAGGGGATGCTGGCGTTGTGCTTGATTGTGTCTTTCTGAATGACGTTTATGGCCGCCCACCTGTATGCAACGGTCGATGTGGGGAATATTTGATCCTTGGCTGCTAGCTTTCCAGTGATGTTTGTGCCATTCACCACATTCACCTGCTTGGGGATGATCGGTGATGGGGGCTTGTTTCAAAGAGCTGGTGATTGGGGAATGGGCTTCGAGGTTCTGTCAAAGTTTTGTTGATGTCTATGACAGATGGTCGATTTGTGAGTTGAGGGGTATGGAAGGAAGGCACATGTCTCGCAAAAAGGGAGCTTACATGCAATTCCCAAAAGAAGTGTTGCCCGTGGGTCAGTTGAAAGTAGACCCGTAGGTTAGCCAATTGCAGGCATTGCATGCAAGTGAGCCCCGGAAAGTCTGTTTTGAATGTGAGGTGTCTGATACTGTGCTGTTTTCTAGATCTCGCCGAGCCACGGCCGCGTACTCACCTGTACTTACAAACGCCGGTGGCAAATGTCAAAGCAGAGGTTGACGGAACAACAGTCAGATATCTTTTCTCCCCCATCCCCAGGCGGGCGCCCTACGCCGAGTGCCGCTTGGCGTGTGCTGCCAATCGGGATTGGGGAAGTTTCGATCTGCTTGTGTGCCCACTCAGAAAAGAAAACCAATGTTGCGCTTCATGCCTTTGTGCAACTCCCGCTTCCATCCGCTTGGTTTGTGTGTGTGTGTGTGTGCGTGCAGTGCCTCAGAGGGGCATGGTGTTGGATGATGGCAATGGGAGGAGCGTCATGAGAGTCCTGCTCATAGAAAAAGCAAATGACACCCATGGCATCGACCATCAATTACTCCGTTGCGCAGCATTCTCAATTCCCTGCAATTGAAAGTAGATGTGGGTTTGAGAATACTTTTTTTTGTCCAAGGGCGCGGAAGGCCGCGGAAGGGTGCGCGAAATAATTTCAAAGGTTCGTATAGGGTTAGTGGCTGCCTTCTACAAAAAATGTGGTTTCATTACCGCAACAGGGGCTCGCTCAGACAGGGCGTGGAACGGTTGCTTGTCAATGTGGCAAACACAATGCAAAACAAAGGCAAAGTCCAATCTAATTAAAAAGCAGGGTCTAAGACAGCTCAGCTACAGAACTTCGTTGCGGAGCCTACAACTGTTCCAGCCTCAGGTTTCAGATGCTTATGAAACATGGCTCTTGCAACGCGCGGCAGATGCACAAGTAGCACTGACACAACAAAAGCAGCAGCCAAAACCCAAGCATACACACAGCATCTGAAATTACCAGGCGAAAATCCGCGTATGCTCCGAGCAAGCTCCGCGTACGGGGCGGGCCGGGTGCTTCGCCCCCAGCTCCGGTCCATCCGGCCCATGCCTCCCAAGCCCAAGCCATGATTCCAACCTACTCCCAGGCGTCAGCGTGAGGTTGCTCCGATGCGTCTTGCCCTACAGCTCGCACGGATTGTACATGCCTTTGACTTTGTCTTCCACACCGATGAAAGCTCTATTTTTGTGGTTTTGCAATGTTCACGTAAGCGAAAACTCATATCAATCCGCGCAAGCGATGCGCGGGCGTTTGCCATGTAGACACCACTCGCGTAAGCTAGGGGCCTTCGCCCGCACAGTAATTTTAAGCAATTCTCAACTAGAAGATACAAGAGCCAAAGCCAAGCGTTTGTTGGTTTCTTGTCTTGCAACAACCTGTCAGAAATGGCATTGCCGCGATTTGACGGGGAGATGGTTTGCTGTTGTCTGGTTTAGCTTTCACAGCAGGGGTCAAACCCGTGCCGCATGTTTTGCATCCTTGTGCTGACTGGCATACATCAAGCCGCCCAGATTTGATCTCGAATGATGTACCAGAGGTCGGAACCGAATCAACACCGTAAGGAAAGCCAGATAGTGGTACCAGAAACCAAAGGTTCCGGCAACCTTAGCCAGTGTCAACACAGGCGTCTGAGTCTCGAGACAATGCACCCAGAACGAGTTCTTTGCGGACGTAGCTGTCAGCTACCTTTTTGATGTGAGCAACATCAGCAGCATTACACAGCTGGGCACAGGAAGTGCGTGTCCCAGCTAGCCGCTCGCCCAACTAGGGCATGTTTCATTGAATTGTTCCTTAAAGGAACCCATTTTGTGGGTTCCGGGTATGTCGCCCAAGGTCCTCACAGCGCCGGCAGGGAGCCTTGGAAGTTTGCTTGGAGGCAGCAAGCGAATAGAAGGCGAACTCGCAAAGTCCCTGGGCAATCCATCACTTGACTTCCCGACGACCTTGAACATGAGTGGGATACATTGGCCGTGTGCAATCCAAGGTGGTGCAAGGTTTCGGGAGCCAGCAGTTCGGGAATTGCTGTAAAAGGATTGATACAAATGCTTGTTGTACTTCCAGATGACCGGGAAGTGAGTCATCAAAGGATTCCTGCATTTGTGGGTCTTTAGTAACTTCTGTTTGCCAAGCACAGCGGCTTGCTAAGGTTTATGCTTGTGTTGCTTCTGACTCATTATCAACTATACCTCACACAAGGCCCTTCTTGAACATAGAGAGCAGCGCAGTGGACACTCATTGTTTTCAACTTGTTTTTTCCCTGTCTTGTGAAACGTTGTGAATTGGATTTCTGCGGAGCGTCTCCATGTTCAGTGGAATGTGCAGCGAGATAATATTCAATCAATGGAGTCCACAACCGAAAGCTGCTTAATGCGGCAATGTTGCATGATTAGCACCCCCTTGGGCAAGGGGCGTTGTTGTGAACTTTTGAAGAAACACATCAGCTTGCAAGTGCCATGGTTGCCTGACGCTCGCATGTTCAGCAAAACATTTGCTTATGATTGAGGCAGGTTTCTACGCCAACAAGCTCGAGGCTGGCGGAGAAAGGGCAATGCGGGGTTTGGTGGGAATTGTGTTCCTTCAAGGATTGCTGCAAAAAACAAGAACCAAAGGCATTTTGCCCCACTGCAGTTTGTCAGAGCAAGAGTTTGGCTCGTTTTGTTCTTCCTTCCGCTTGTTTTTTCTTGTAGAACAACCAACAAACTACACACAGCAAGCAAGCAAGCAACCAAACGACTCTTATGTGCCGGAGATATGAACAAAGCACAGGAGGCCAACCTGCGTTCGAAAGGCATCAGGCTTTGCAGAGTTGGCCAGGTGGAGAGGCAGACAATGTGCATTGCTAGTTGAGATGATGGTCATGAATCGGCGAAATGAATCGGCGAAAGGAGCACGGGAACCATCGCCCAGAGAATCGACACTGTCCCGCATTTTATGCTTCCATACAGCACAAGTGAGTTGCCACGCCATTAGTCTCCCCAAAGGTTGCGCGTGAAGACGCGAAGGTTTGGCCAAGGCCGCAGGCTGGTGCATTTGACGATCCAGGCTCAGGATTTTCGAGCGGGCATTCTTGAGCACAGGGCTCGACATCTCAAGAGGTGCTTCGACGCCTTTGAAGAGTTCAATGGGATGTAGACTTTTTTGTTGCACTGGGCATGGGCGCAATGCTTCCTTGTCGGTTCAAAAGACACATTAATGCTGTGAAATGCACCATCAGTTTGATCACAAAATGAGGCCTATTGAAGAAGCAGCCGATGGATAGACTATTCAACATGCCATATTGTACCATCTTCCCATTGTGCCTTGCCGCATGTTTCGAGCAAAGTGCAGACTTGGAGCATTAAGTCACCAAAGCTTCGCAACTACTTCGAGCCAATTCCAAGCACCTTGTATGACCCTAGTGATGGATGGCATTTGACGAGCGTCGATGGAGGCTGAGGCATGGCTCTGAAGCGATGGGCGGTGCGGCAAATCTCCGGGCTGCTGTCAGATTATTTAGAGGGTATCACCGAGCAGAACTTGCAGGCCGGCTCCAAACACGACTTGCTGCGATAGGTAGGGAATGAGCATTCCAGGTGCTGGGAATGAACCGGCAGGGGATTCCCTTAATGGAGACCAGAAGAATTGGGCTATTGGGGTCATTCCCTCATCCCCAGCTGAGAACCAGCAAGAAGACGCTATCGTTTTTGGAGAGGGGGCCATAGGGATAGATTTGCGGGTTCAGCGACCGTCGCAACGGTCTCCTCATGGCCCTTGCAGCCAAGATCTTGCAGGAGCCGCTTCATTTGGTTCCGGCTGTAATTGCCCCACAGGCGATGAGCTGTGAGTTTGTACCAGTTCCTACCTCAAACTTGGCACGACATGATTGGCTACTGCCAAATTATTGGATATATATATATATAGCATGATATGTACAGAAAGCGATTTATTAGATGTGTGTGTGTGTGTGTCTGTGTGTGTGTGTGTGTGTGTGTTTGTGTTTGTGTTTGTGTTTGTGTTTGTGTTTGTGTTTGTGTTTGTGTTTGTGTTTGTGTTTGTGTTTGTGTTTGTGTTTGTGTGTGTTTGTGTTGTGTGTGTGTGTGTGTGTGTGTGTGTGTGTGTGTGTGTGTTGTGTGTGTGTGTTTGTGTGTGTGTGTGTGTTTGTGTGTGAGTTTGTGTGTGTGTGTTTGTGTGTGTGTTTGTGTGTGTGTTTGTGTGTGTGTGTGTTTGTGTGTTTGTGTGTTTGTGTGTGTCTGTGTGTGTGTTTGTGTGTGTGTGTGTGTGTGTGTGTGTGTTTGTGTGAGTTTGTGTGTGTGTGTGTGTGTGTGTGTGTGTGTGTGTGAGTGTGTGTGTGTGTGTGTGTGTGTGTGTGTGTGTGTGTGTGTGTGTGTGTGTGTGTGTTTGTGTGTGTGTGTGTGTTTGTGTGTGTGTTTGTGTGTGTGTGTGTGTGTGTGTGTGTGTGTTTGTGTGTGTGTGTGTGTGTGTGTGTGTGTGTGTGTGTGTGTGTGTGTGTGTGTGTGTGTGTGTGTGTGTGTGTGTGTGTGTGTGTGTGTGTGTGTGTGTGTGTGTGTGTGTGTGTGTGTGTGTGTGTGTGCTGTTTACAAGGATTCCTCAACCTGAAGATTTTGAGCGTACTTGCAACAAATTCACTGTGGCGTCACCATCCGAGCAGTGAGGCCTCTCTGAGCCTGGAGGTGGGTGAGGTGGAGATCCGGCACGTGCGGGTCCACTCGGAGCTTCTGGGCTCTTTGCAGCTGTTGAGCTCCGACGTCTCGGTCTCGGCCCGGATCCCATGGCGGAATCTGGGCTCTGAGCCCACGGTGATCACCGTGCAGAATGTCTGGGTAGAGGCGGGGAAGTCAGAAGACGGAAGTCGGAAGGATGTGAATCCAGTCTTGGAAGCCGGAGGGGAAGGGGAAGTTCGGAAGGGGCAATGCGAAAGCGAGGGAGTGTGACGACCTTGCGCGTCTCTTCGTTTGGGGGACATGTCAACTGATTTCAACTTGGTCCTTCCAAGCACTCTTGCTTTTCAGTGCAGGTGCACTTGGCTTCAAGATACCGTGTTGTTTGGCGGCAGCAAACCCACCAATCCTGAGCCCAGCCTAAATCCACCCCAAACGTACCCCAACCTAAGCCTACACCAAGCCGAATGCAACCCTGAAACAAGCCTAAGCCAATCCTGCCTGATCAACCCTCAACAGAGCGGACCCAAACCGCCCCTCTACCAACCCTTAAGCAGCCTCTCAAGCAACCCTTAAGCAACCCTCAAGCACCCTCAAGCCCTCTCCTGAACCTGCCACTGAGACAGGTTCAGGCGGCCAAAGGAGACGAGCAGACCGCCCGGGAGGAGCTCCGGCGCTGGCGGGCCCGGAAGCGCAGGAGCGTGGAGGCGCAGGTGGAGCGAGCCAGGGCTCAAGCAGAGGAGGAGCCTTGACGGCACTACTCACAGTGTCTTTCGCCTGTTCGTCTCTCTGCCTTCACTTTGCAAACGATTTGCTTTTGCCCCGATTTGTTGGTGCTTGCTTGAGGCTCGAGAAGCTTTTGGGGATGACTGCGCTCTGAACTGGTGTGAGCGATGTGTTTTGTCCTGGTCTATTGTGTGGTTGAAAGGATGTGTTTGAATATTGGGCGAAGGGTATGAACGGCTTGGGCATTGAGAAAAGCTGAGACTGCTTTGACGCTTGAGGATGAGACTAATGATGCCCCAAAAAGGCCTTTGGCTTTGGACCCCTTGGCCTGTACATCATCACAGCCTATAGCCAGTACAACAAAGCACACGGGCAAGCATGTACCGCCACTCACCCTCTGACCACCCTCTCACCCACCCACAACCAACCAACTAGCCCACTAAGTGATTAAGCAAGCCAGCCGGCATTCAAGCAAAACCGTACACAACCGGACACTCAAAATACCAATCAGGCACGATGCCATAGTCCATCCACGGCGACCTCCGACCCTCGCCTCAGGAGCCGCGGCGGGGTGTGGCGGCGCGGTTCGGGCACGCGGCGCTACGGCAGCTGCAGGTCCGGGTGGAGGGTTTAAAGGCCCGGGTGCACCCCGAGGCGCGGATGGGATCTTTCGGGAAATGGTCCGATGGATGGGTTTGCTCGGCGTAATGGGAATCTCCAGAGGAAAACGTCCTCTATTTGCTTTGAGTGCTTGGGGTTCTCTGTTTAACAAAGAGCGTGAAGGGAGGGGCCTCTGTTTTCGGTGAAAGCTGGACCACCACTCCTTGTTTAGATGACCAACACCTCACCTTGCGATGCCTCATGGACGATTCCATTTGGGCGCATACCGCTTTGAATGTTTTGGGCTGCAGACCCAGCAGGGGGGTTGCAGTACACCGGGCAGGGGATCGTGATTTTGCTTGTGATGATATGGGAGCAGCAAAGGTGGCTCATGTGGGGTGCTGGCGCAGGCATGTGACTGGCTGCGCCCCTTGTGGTCAGCATTGGAAGATCGTTGGCTTGTGGGAATTTGATGTATGGAGTTTAACAGATGCATTGAGCCCACTACACTGTCAACGAGCCCACACTGTCAACAACGAGGGTCTGACATTTGGCAAAGGTCCACGTATCATTGGAGGAGTCTCTGCTTGAAAGAGGTTGCATCACGCTCACCAACATGGTGAATCATGCAGCGGCAATGACTCACGGGAAACTCCATGATGGCTGAACCACAACTTGTGCTGCACAAAGGGTTGATTGATGGTGGCAAACGACCACCACAATGAACTTCCACCGTTTCACATGTGTGTATATATATATATATATATATATATATATTTGACAACAATTGACCACTTCTCATGATACAAGGCATGACAAACGACGTCATCACAAGCCTTCACACACAGCGGCTGTTGGTGACGGAAGGGTCCTAAAGAAGCACAATTCCTTGATAGGTAAGTTCCGTCCAGCATGAAGCGGTGTAAGGACTTCCTCACTGTCATCGTCTCTCAGAAATCGAGGCATCCTTGATTATGAGACAGATAGCTGGGAAGGGGACGGTGGTCCATCTCTCGCTGACAAGAAATGGATGAGAGAAGAAATGGGACCTTTCTGGACTGGCGGTTGAACTCTTGGAACTACCCGTCATATGACCACTTCTTTGTCTCTACGTAGGAGTTAATCTAGGACTGCCCAGTCAAACAAAAATACAAATATTGATATTTGGCTCATTTTATGTCGTGTTGTACTTATGTTGTGATTCTTTGTTTTCTCGTCAGTGAGAGGTGTGCTACCGTCCCTTTCGCAATTGTTTGTCTCGCAATACCGTGTGTTAGTTGAGCAAGGGGCAAGTGCTTCCAAAGCTAATAGATGACAGGAAAGATATGACTCTGGAACCCATTCATTCCGCCTCTCAGTGTCCTTTGTGAGGCATGTTCGACGAGATGGTCGCTCTCTCAATCCTTTGTCTTTCTCTCGCTTTCTCTGTCTCTCTCTCTCTCCTTTCTCTCTCTCTCTCTCTGTCTCTCTCTGCCTCTCTTTTCAACCCATGTAATCGCTACTAAACTGGGGCAAAGCAGGGGAGGGTTACGATGGTTGCGTTTGGGGCTGCCTTTGGATTGTTTCTATAAGTTAGGAAATTACCCAGAGAAGGAATGGAGGGATGGTTCTAGGTCAACAAACAACAAATAAATATTAGCAAAGACCAATAATCTTTATCTTGTCTATCCTACAGGATTCATATCCTAGAACAGGTAGCCGGCATGAAAGGTGCTCAGGGTCTTATTGCCAGGTCGTTGACCTCCTAGTAACTGAGCGTGGCTCAATTTCTGAGACGAGGCCAATGTCGGTGAGGAGATCCTTACACCGCTCACGCTCGACGGAACTTACCTGTCAAGGATTTTGCTACTTTGGGACCTTTGCATCCCTAACAGCCGCCGTGTGAAGGCTGGTAACGACATCATTTGCCATGCCTTGTATCATGAGAAGTGGTCAAGTGTTGTCAAACATATTTAGCTGATATCATAGTGGTCAGCATCGACATCACAGTGGCAGCTTGCCATCCCAAGTGAAGCTTGGGGGGGTAGGGGTTGCAAAATTGGTGGAACTCTTGTCATTGGACTGCATGTTTGTTGAAGCGGCATGTTTGTAATTTGGCTAGCCATCAGACATGGCCTTGTGGTGATATGACGTGGGCGATTCCATCAGAGATAGCTTCAAACAGGCTTCCCGCACACGCATACACAAGCTACCTGCAACTTGAAGAGCCTCGGCTTGGCCCAAAACACGTTGATGCCTTCATGGCTTCTCTTGTCCCAGGCCAAATTGACCCACCACCCGGCAGCAAATTTGAATTGGCCGCCTGGCGCAGGCGGCCTCTTCCATGGACCTCTCCATCACGCGCCTGGCGCTGGACGAAGGCTGCGGTGACGACTCCGTGCCCGCGGAGGTGCGGCGCCACGTGGCGTCCCTGGATAAGGTGCTGGAGCTCGTAGGGCTCAGCTGCCACCTGTGCAGACGAGATCCTCGGGCTTGAGGGCGATGACAAAAATCACCATCCTTGGGTTTAAGGGTTTAAAGATCCTTGGGTTTAAAGGGGACTGTAGGGGGATGATCCTTGGTCGCAACTTACAAGGTGGTTCCCATTGAAACTGCCGTTTGATGTTCCGCAAAGGGAAATGGAGGAAACCCTGTCACTTACCATTTACCCACTTAAGGGACAATCGAGCTTACAATCTAAATGGACACAGTTTGGTCGGCAGTTGGTGCCAGGCAAGCTGGCCATTTGGCAAGCAAGCCCTCCAGCAAGGAAGCTCACAAGCATCACAGCATCATCAATATGACTCGTGCAACTGTGATTTTGATGTATGCGTGTCCCGTTCCATCGCAGGACCTCAATCATGTCAATTTGCCTTTTGTAAGCCGCAAAGGGCCGCGCCCCTTCTAGGAACAAGCTGAGGCCACGTGACCTTAAAAGTTGAATCGCCGACTCGGCCTGCAAAACATTTGAATTCCAGACTTGAGTTTGGGCCTGTTCCTTGATTGTTGCTTCGTTTATGGGACACGAGAGCAGGTCGAGGGGCAGTGCTGAAGAGTATCGAACGAGATTGTCCAAGTAATTACTAGCGTTGTTCCGGGTTCCAATTCCGCTGAACTGTATCGACAAATCACGCCACTTGTGAGGAGTACTTGTCAGGAGTAGGTGGGGGATGGAGAACCCAGTGCAATAACAGAGTCCGTTGCCGCAATACTGCATAGCACGCAATGCAGCATGCATTTGTGCCGCATTGCCCTGCTGTCAAAGTGCGTGCCACAACACTCTGCAGCTTATTCATGTCCGTTTGTTTGCTCACTTAGTCCAATGCCAACCTTGTGAACTTAGGATTGTCAAGATGGATTCATGATTGAAGCCAGCTCAGGCGGAACGTCCAAGTAGGGACCCTAGGGCGGAGCTTTAAAATTTTTATGTGGGTCTGCGATGTCTGTGTCAGAATAGGGAAAGCTCCAACATGATGGTTTTCCTTTGAGGCAACCCGAGAAGGGCACCAACTCCAAAAAGAAAGGCAGCTCCACGCAGAATTTTCGGAGCCGGCTCTGCGTTGGCCGCGGCCCGAGGAGGCGGACAGCGAGCATTGGTCCGCCCTGCGCCGGGCGCTGGAGGAGAAGCAGCGGCGCTTGGAGAGCTCCGCCGGGAGCGACGGCCTGGCGGCAGAGGCGCGGGGGGGGGGGGGTCTGGCGATCCACGGGGCCGGGCCAAGGGGCCTCTTCTTGGCCAAGGGCAGCGACCGTGTCCCGAGGTGTCCCGAGTGTCCCGACACTTAGATTAGAGATGGTGATGTTCGAGGTGTGTTTTTGGAGGCAAAGGTGGTTGCTCCGGCTCCTGCACTGCCCACATAGTGCCCCCCATTCCCCGAGTCAGAGATCAGGACGGCGCAAGTGACTTCGTGAGTGACTGGTGTTGCATAACTAGTGTGGCCCAGACAATTGAGCATGGATCACCTGGGAAATGCCAAAAGGGTAAGTCCAAACCCACGGAGACAGTACACCAAGGAGCAAACCGGCCTTTTGGAGACAGTTTGCCTGCAAATTTCTGTGACACGCAGATATCGTCAAAGGTTAGTGTGCAGATGCCCTGAGGTGGTGGAGATCAAGGGTGCCCTGATGCAGACAAAGAAGGCCTGTCCCCTCATGGGCCCTCTGTCCCTGGATGCCCGTCTCTGGCATTCGCGGGCAGGAGGCGTTTTGTGGCTACAGACCGAGCTGCAAGTGGCACCCAGCATCGCCGTTTCTGCCCTGATTTAGCAGGGCGTTGCGTCCATTCGCCCAAATCGACTTCTCATTCTGACAAAGAATTCACCATATGTGTTTGGCTAGATTTTGCACTTTCGGGTTGGAGCCCAAGGCTTTATGCCTTTCGCCTTCCAACATGGAGTGCCTGGGTGCAATTCTGGGTCGCTGGTTGCGTGTTTTGTGGTCGGCGAGAGGGTGCTTCTGAGGGCTGCAGAGGCCAACCAGACAGTGAGTTGCAGAGACATGGGCAGACGCATGTAAGAAGATGTTTTTTAGGAGTGAGAGATTGATGCAAAGATAGTGGCAGATCTGGGAAAGATGCCCTGAATGAGGTATATCAGCAACATCTGGAATTGGTATACTGAACACTTTTCTCGGCCTCGACTGCGACATGATGAGCAAGTCCCCACGTGCTCGGGCCCGGACTATGCGGAGCTTTGCGTGCGCCGTGCCAGAGGTGAGGAGCAAGAGGGGGATCAGCAACGCTTGGAGGAGATCGAGGATCTGGCGCCCGTCGAGTGGCTCGCAACTCAGCAACCATACCAACCCACAACAAGTCATCACAATTCCTGGTGGTTTTCCTTGAGCGATTTTCTGGTCGATTCCTTCTACCAATGCAACAGCTCTCTCAAGGCTAGAGATGACGCGAGCAAGTGGCACAGCAAACCCACAGGACACCATCCATGCTTCAGAGATGCCCCGCTTGGGTTTGCTTCTACTTGACCGCAAACATGTAGTTGCCAGTCGACTAGGCCTGCTGAGTAGGTGAGGTCCACCCGTTTCAAGTCTAGCAGTTTCAGGCATCTTTTCCTATAGATAGTCACTTCACTCAGTGTTCGTCAATATATTGGCTTTTTTCTAGGCAGCGACACCCCACCAGTCAACTCCTTAACCAAACCAGGTATGAATATCGTACCCATGTTCTTCTTTTTGCCTGTGTGTGTGTATGCGTCTTTTGGGTGGCTGTTGTCAAGTTGGGAGCTGCGCCGATTGGTTGCTACGCAGCGCATCGTGGGAGAAAGTTTACTTCAACCAGGCAAAGCCAACCCACTCACTGCGGCACTGCCCTTTAAATTGGACAAGCCAGAATCAATATTGAGATCATCCTGGTCATGTTTTTCCTTTGACGTGTGTGGAGACAAGAAGTCCATAGCTGTCCATCCCCCAAAGCAAATATGCAGGTCACCAAGCAACCAAGCAACCAAGCAACCAAGCAACCAACCCACCAACCCACCAACCCGCCAACCCACCAGCGCTGGTTCAACTTTGGTACTGTCTCTTCCTCAAGGACTGCGTGCTCAGGGATGAATGGGTGATGTGCCTTATCGGCTTTGCCAACTGACCCAACGCAGCCAGCCGATCCGATTTGATTCGATTCCCTGTGGTATTGGCAGGCACGATGGCAGAAGAGTGTCGAGGCGCCCGAGGCCCAGCCAAGGGGCCGCCGCTGGCTGCGCCCATGGAGGCAAGTGCCTGAGGAGGAGCGGGTCAGCAAGTGCCTGGCTGGCAAGTGGATGGCTCGGAGCAGAAGCCTTGCCAGTGCCAATTTCCATGCCGGAAGTCGGATGAACATCCCTTGGGTTGGGCCCCTGAGTTCAGGTAGTGAGGCTGCCACCTGTGGGTAACCAAATGTAAGCCACCGTGAATTCGGGGCAGGCTGATGACATGCAGTAATGCACCCGGGTAAGGCAGTGCAGAATAAGCATGCCCACCATGGGGGTGGTGGAAACTTCTGCATGCATGATCAGCAACCATGCTGGAGTTGGCTTACAGGGCCATCACACCGTGTCACCATGTTGGTGGAAATCATCAGAACGATGTGCAAGTCTGCAAATTTATGAGTCGCATGTGTGCTAGTTGCTGGCCAGTTACAATGTCCGCACGATGTTTGACCTTTGTCCTGCTGCTTCTCACATCCGTGGTGCATTGACATTCTGGTTAGCCAGTGCAATCATTTGCATCCTGGTGGGGCCTTGGTTGAAAACAGAGCAAGTTGCTTCAGCCTTTTCGCGGCATGGGGAGGATGATATCGAGGACATCGTGGAGGAAGCTGGGAAGCAAAGCTTCTTCGAGGACGCAGCCAGCCATTTCGTGAGGGATCATTGGGTTTGCGCGCTCATTGGGATTGCCCCCGCAGACCCTCCACCCACCTTGATCGTGGACTGCTGGCTACTTGGACACGTGCAAGCTGGTACCAATTTAACCTGCTGGTGTAGCCGCTTTTGACAACTCGCATGCCGTGTGTTTGCCGTGTGTTTGCTTAAGAGTAGACAGTCAGCCCGGCCTCGTGGCGAGGCCGTGAGGCTTTCTGTGCATTTGAGCATGGCTGTTTTAGTGGGCGGTTCTGAAATTCTACTCCCTGCTTTCATGGGGGTTATCACAACTGGGTTTTTGTCGCTGCTCACTTCTCAACTTTGTCAACATTTTCCCAACGTGAGAAACCCCCTGACCGCTGCAGAAACCTATCTTGGGCAGGAGGTGGAGGGGCCGCGAAGGCTGGAGCTGCGCGTGGTAATCCCCACCTGCCGCATCCTCTCGTTGGAGGCGGACGCGCAAAGCGCTCACGACCTGCGCCTCGAGGGGGGCGTTCAGGGCCAGCTGTCTCTCAGCACCGCGCGGGAAGGACCGCGCGAATGGCAAAGGAACGGACGCCTCACGCCCTTGGGCGCCCAGGTTATGGTTCTTGGGAAGTTCTTGGCGCCTTTGGGACTGTTGCAGTTGTTGTTTTGGATGATCACCAACGTAGCCTTGAACTTTTGGTAAGAGGCGACCATGCAAGAAGCAGCCATTTCTTAGCAAAGAGCCAACTGAAGTATTGCACTCTGCGCAGACACAGTCTGTTCTTGGGGATTTGCCCTGAATTGCCCCGAACCTCAGGCAACAGTGCCCTTGGAAGACTCGGAGTGCCAGTTAGGCTGTCCAAAGAGAGAACACTTTCACGCAAGAAACCAGACCGCGGGAAACCATGTCTTTAACCAAGGCCCAAAAGTTGCCTCCTTTGTGATGAGGCTGTTTTGGGTTCAAGCATGTATCTATTGGGGCCATGACACATGGCAGTTCGCCGCCTCAATCCTGTAGCAGTTTCGATGGTGGCGCCAAATTCCATCAAGTTCCGCGATGCCCGCATTAAAGTCTTGGGCGGCATTGGCTAGTGGCAAATGGGCGCCGAGTCACAATCAAAACGCGCGGGCGGTGGGAGTTATTAGTGATCTCAGCACAATCATAGCCAAGTCATTGATTCGTCTCAAACAAAGCCGGTGCCACACGGTTGCCACATGTCTTCCCGCTCTGTTTTCCCGAAAGCATGGCGAAGGGTTCTTCCGCTGGGTTCACTTGAGTTGTTCTCATGAGATTCATTACAAGGTGTCATTGCAAGGAATCATCATCATGAAAGTCAATGCAAGGAGTCATTGCAAGGAGTCATTGCAAGGAGTCATTGCAAGGAGTCATTGCAAGGAGTCATTGCAAGGAGTCATTGCAAGGAGTCATTGCAAGGAGTCATTGCAAGGAGTCATTGCAAGGAGTCATTGCAAGGAGTCATTGCAAGGAGTCATTCAAGCAAGCATGGAAGCAAGGCAAGTCAAAAAGTGCTGGAGTCAAGTGCAAGTTGCAAGTGCAGGAGTCAAGTGCAAGTTGCAAGTGCAAGGAGTCAAGTGCAATTGACTTGCGAGGAGTTAAAATCTCTTCTTAGGGCGGCGGGGTAGTGCCGACGACACTACACGAAAACCGACCCTCTGCGGGGATCGGCGTGGTCGAGGTGCAAAAACCCATGGTTTTTTTTGCGATTTCTGCGGTGCTCGCGCGACCCTCTGCGGGGATCGGCGTGGTCGAGGTGCAAAAACCCATGGTGTTTTGCGATTTCTAAAGTCGCGCGACCCTCTGCGGGGATCGGCGTGGTCGAGGTGCAAAAACCCATGGTTTTTTGCGATTTCTGCGGTGCCCGCGCAACCCTCTGCGGGGATCGGCGTGGTCGAGGTGCAAAAACGAGGTTTTTTTTTGCGATTTCTGCGGTGCTCGCGCAACCCTCTGCGGGAATCGGCGTGGTCGAGGTGCAAAAACTCCAGGTTTTTTGCGACTTTTGTTGTTCGAACTGGTCCTCGGGAGTTGTCTCGTGGTTCGCGCGCCTGCTCCCGGAACCGGCGGGTCGCGGGTTCGATTCCTCCCTGGTCCGCGGGCGGGCGTCGCAAGATGCAACTTGCATTTTAAAGCAACTTGCGCAGAGCAACTTGCGCAGAGCAAGTTGCACAGAGCAACTTGCGCAGACCAACTTGCACCGACCAGTTTGCGCAGAGCGCCTTGCCTAGAGCAACTTGCGCAGAGCAACTTACGCAGAGCAACTTGCACAGAGCAACTTGCACAGAGCAGCTTGCACAGAGCAACTTGCAGGGAGCGCAATTTGCACAGAGCAACTTGCAGGGAGCCACTTGCAGGGACCAACTTGCCGGAGCAACTTGCGCGGAGCAACTTGCGCAGACCAACTTGCACCGACCAGTTTGCGCAGAGCACCTTGCCTGGTGCTGTCTCGCGCTTGCTTCACAAATGCCTCGTGGAGGGAAAAAGAACGCATCCTGCAGCGTTGGGCCGACCTCGCTTGCGATGTTATGCTTTCGGGCCAGCCGTGGTCTAGTTTCTCTGTGTGCACCAAGAGGAGGCAAAACAAGATCATAAGATCGAATCGAACAAGTTGACTGATTGGTATCGTAGTGGCCGTTCCAGGCGCTATGAGGGACTTTATGAAGGCGGCCTGGGACGCAGATGTCTCCGCAAAGCTGTCCTCCATCGCCGTTTTGTTGGGCGACGAGCCGCTGATGCTACTGAGACATTCCAACAACGAGCAACCTCCGTCCCCGCCCAAGAGGCAGGCTTCCCAGGACCGCTATCCATGCCGGAGGCGATGTGTTCAAGACAGCTCATCAGGGATATGGGCTTCTCAAAGTAGTGGTCCCCTATTTTCCATTGTTTGTTCTGTTAAATTCCAACCAAAATGGGTTTTCACCGTTTGGAGAAACCCTCTTAGGCAATTGTATTCAGCGCCCCAAGTTTCCTGCAGGACGACGAGGATGAGTTTTTCGATGTTGAGAGTGATGTGGAGGATGAGGAGGTCTGGAACGCGACGGAAAGCGCAGCTGTCAACCTCCTGATACGCTGCGCTCGTTTCGGCGGATCTACCGCTTCGGGCGGCGCTGCTTTGCCCTGGGATTTTCGAGTTCGCCTGAAGCAGGCAGGATGAGAGTGCATCCATGCGATATTCACATTCCACGTGTTCTCAGGGCCGTTTGAGCTATGCGGCTATGCATGGCTGGCTTTGCAGAGCAGCTTCCCGACCCTGACAGGAGCCCTTTCGATTTCTGTTGGCGCCGCAGACGACGCATAGCGCCTTGAATCTTGTCCTGTCGGTGATTCGCGCCGCGACCCTGACAAGGGTGCCAGCGCAGAAAGTGCTGACGGATCCGCATTCCCCCATGGCCGCACAGGAGGAGGCGCGCCAAGGGCTTGCCAAGGAAGCGGATGTGAGATAGTAGGTTTATCTTGAAATGGGGAAAGCCCCAAAATGATTGGTTTTCTTTTATTTCTCTTTACAACCAACCTAAAGGGTGTTTTTGACCCCCAAAAAAGGACACACCGCAATGTTTCATTCGAGGAGTTCGAGGCCATTGCTCTGGACCTGGACCTAGATGTGGCGGCCCCCGTCTTCCGCTGGGACCTGTCGGAGGCGGGAACGGCACGAACAGCGCTGCGCGCGATCGCAGGTGCCAAGCTCCACATTCGACGACATGGTTGACGCTGAATATGTCGCCAAGAAAGCAGGCCAAACAATGTTTTTGCAGCACGCACGTTTAATCATTATCATTTCCATGACTTCTTTGAATGTTGCCCGTGTGTTTGCCAAACACCCATATTTAGCTCGCTATTCTGATGTTATCACTCGGACAAATCAGGAAGACCACTACCATTTGAGAGGTGGAGCACACACGCCCGCGCATACGGATTGCAACCGATAGCATAAACTCCGCCAATTTTCAATATAACATGTACACCAATCGCAAAGCATGGTTACGACAATAAAAGTTGGGTCCAACCATCCGACTGTCTATGGTCTGTTTGGGAGCGACATAGAGGACTCATTAAATGTCCCGAAGAAATAGGCGGACTCACTAATTTCTCTGTGCATATTGTGGAGCAGCATATTTTGCCCGCTCGCGTGGAACAACAAAGATCCCAACTTCCAGACATGCAGTATTCAACAAACTTCCTTCCGCCCCGTGTCTGGTGGACGCTTGGAGTCTATTCGCAACATGTTTGTGTAGCTTCTTGGTTTGCTACGGGTTGAGTCTGCAAGATGGCCGTGAATCTCATTAGGGAACCACCTCAAAAATGATTGGTTGACCTGAACCCCCATTGAATTTCACACACAAACAATCTTTAGCTGTCCATAGCGCCCTCTCTTTTCTGGGTCGGATGCGTAGGGCCACGTCACTGTAGCCCTGGGGCGCCTGGTCTTCCGCAGCAGCCAAGCGCCGCCCCCGCAGCAGCTGTCCCCGCCAGAGAGGCAGGGGTCCATCGTCGCTGTGAGTTTGGCGCAAGATTCTTTGGAACCAACGAGGGTGGGGTCGCTTGTGGTTTAGCTGCAAAAAGGGCGGTGTTATTTGTTGTTTCCAACAAAATAACACACCCAAACAGGGTACCTTCAGACAAAACAGCCGTTTCAAGACCCAAGTGACCTGCAAATGGCACACCGTTCACATTGAATCAATTTGAGGAGGGCTCTCAAGGAAGGGACAAAAAGCCCTGCACGTTCCAAAAACGTGCGTTTTGACAAGCCTTCAATCTAGTGGATTCTAAGCGCATTTGGTTTTCAGCAAGGCTCGTTGCAACGCTGCGGCTACCTAAGCATAGCTAGCACCAACACTTTCGCATTTTTCGGAGGTGCGACTGGCGGAAGTTTGCCTGCTTCTGCCAGCTCACGGAAACCAGCATCACAGTGGGGGAGAAGTCTGTGGAATGTCGGGTCTACGAGCCAAGCACAATGAGCTTAAGAGCCTGGCGGGAGGCTGATAGCTGGCACTGGACCTTGGACAGCCAGGCGAGCAGAGACTAAACACCAGCTGTGAAGTTCGTTTTTGGGAAGGATTACATAGAGAGCCATTTGGAAGCCACGCGCGCTTGTAACTGTGTTGACACAATTTGGGCATGGATTTGGAGCATCAGGCAGTGCGATGGGTGATCGACCCACTCTTCATGCAAGTCACGGGCCAGCTGCCAGTGAGCTTTGACTATGCGATCAGCCCCTTGCGCGACGTGCTGTCGGATACCGTCCCAATCTCCGGCGATGCGCGGAGCGACGAGGTGCCGACAGCTGACGTCACCGTCGAGCAAGTGACAGAGCCTTCGCCAAGGATTTGTTTCAGTGCGTTATCATGTCGAACAGGATTCCGGGCATCTCAAAAGGAAAGCATGCAAACGGATCAAAAGTTGGCTTCCCTGTTCCAGAAGTGACAGTTTCGGGCAGCGGGTGGCTGAAACCGAGGAGTCCGCGAAGCCAAAGACTCACTTCAAACTGGCCATCGCTAGCACTGAGTTTGTGCTCTGTCCCGCTGCTGGACAGAAGGTCTCCCTATCACTGGATGGCATCAGCGCTCAGTATTGCGGCTATGAAGGGCGTCACGATGTCCAGGGCGAGGCGGGCGGTTGACCAAAATGATCCATCATGGCCTGTTCGCACAGCCTTTGTCAGGGGACTCGGCTCTATGGGTGCGTTTCTTCAATGTGCTGGCGGTGGTTTATTTCCACGTAGCTACAAGTTTCTTGCAGCCCACAAACACAAGGCCTGAGTGATACAGCGCGCGTCTATTTGCTGTTATCAAGTTATCAACTAATCAATAAGCTTGGTAACTGGCCTCTACCAGCAAATTTGCGTCTATTCAGCCTCACGATGCAGATTGCAGAGGCTTCCTCGTTACCTGGTTTTTGATCCCTGCAATTGGATGGAATTGGAATACAGCCAACTGAAATCATTGGAGAGAGAGAGAGAGAGAGAGCTGTTGTTCTCAGTACGATCACAGCTCTTAGTCTACAGTATTTGTGGTCAAACTTGCATGGACTGTCGTTTCAAAGTCGAGCAATCTATTGCACTTTTCAAGTTCAATTGTTCTGCCATGTGCTTGCCTGGTAGGGCACAAGCCGTTGCAACCTGATTTCGTTTGCCCCTATTTGGCTGTGTTATTTCCCACTCGTTTCATGAGTCTGCCCACACTGTATATCTAACGACCCGGGTCAGGGTCACACCGGTCTTCAAGTGGCCTCCCCTTGTTTGCGAGTATTGAAGAGGGGCATTTCGGGCACTCGTCGCCTCAGGTCGCTTCGTGCCACCTCAGCTGCGACAGCGTGGTGTTGGTCTCCTTCACCCGCGGGGCTTCTTTGGAGGCCAAGAGCGCCCAGGACGTGCACGTCAAAGCGGGCAGCACCCTCATCGCGGTGCAGTGTCTCGCTGCGTGTTATGTAATTCATATCTTTGATATTTGATTTGCAGGTGGCCCAGACGTTGCCTCCCTTGCTTTTCTTCTCCTCTTCCTCCTTTCCTTGACTCCTTCCAATTCCTCCCTGGCTTCCTTTTTTCCTTTTTCCTTTCTTCCCTTCTTCCTTCCTTCCTCCATTCCTCCCTTCCTTCATTCCTTCCTTCCCTTCTTCCCTGCTTCCCTTCCTTCTGTTGTTCTTGGCTTGTGTTTCTTAGCCTTGCGTATTCCGCAACACTTCTAGAGCGCGAAGTGTCAGAGCACACACCACGCTGGATACCGATAGGGGACTCTTAAACTAAGTAGCGAAACGGCCGTAAGTAAGTAATTTCGACCGTGCCTCACCTGTCCGCTGCACCTTGGCTGCTGACCCAACTTGCCACACTCGTGAGGTGCTACCATCAAGTGTGCAGCTTCCACACCGCTAAGCGTTTGAATTTCATTCCGTTGCATGCTTTTTGAATGGGAAGGTCGTGAGCCATTCGCACGTTTGTGGCCGGGCCAGTCATGAAGATGATGAGGTGCGGATACGCTACAGTTGTGGACTTATTTGTTGTTCGCTTGAAAGTGTCGGTTCGGCCACGCTGAATCCACCGGCAGGCAGGCATCATTCAAAGGTTTTAGTTGAGACTTTGTTGAAAAGGACGCATTTCGACGAAGAAATAGGCCTTCGAACCATGAGCCGACCCATTTGAAGGACCATGTTGAGCTTAAATCAATGGCTGTATGGGGTTCTAACACCATTTGGTCCCATCAGTACCTACAGGTGTCAGTCTCAAAGCAAAGGCACAAGGACCCCCTAACCCATTTTTTGGCTTCCCCTTTGAGCCTCCATTTTTTTGCTGCGGCTTCCTCCTAGGTGGTACGAGCGCTACATCCGCCTGGCGATGCTCGCGGTGGACGAGGCTTCCAAGGCCTTGGCGGCGGGCCACGAAGTGTCGCAGCGCCTGCTGCCCCCGGTGGACGCGGGCATCTTCGCGCAGCTCCCTGCCGAGAGCACATGGGTCTCTAAGGTAAAAATATGGGTTTGCCGCTAAGATGGACAATTTGGGGACCCCCCAGAAAAGGCTGGAAAACACAAGGGGCTAGATTATGCATGATTACTTTTGAAATCATGACCAAACTTGGTCTTCAAGTATCAGAAAATGCATTCTAAGTATTGAGGCCCTTCTATGTTGATTTTCCGACCTTGTGATTTGTGTTGAGATAATTGGTTTTTGAAGGTGCTGTTAATCTTGTCGATCATGTTTAATGATGAACATGTCACGAGGAATCGGTTGCCATGAGGTGGGAATCTGTTTTTGCTCCGCTCATGAGAATGCATGGCACAAATACAGGAGCATGCCCTTACTCTTTTGCGTGTTTGGACTCGGCTGCCTAGATTTTTAGAAGTAGGGAGGGCCCCAGAATCTCGTTCGAGTCGTAGCTCGTCCGGCCCAGCGAGTCAGGCTTTGGGGGCGCTATGTGATCCGACCCATCCAGGCGAGAGAGCGGCAAGTGTAGGGAATCGTTGAAAAAGTTGGTTGCCGATGGTTGCCGATGGTTGCCATTTTCCTACATTGACTTGCTTGACTGGGGTTGCCGCCTACTCTCACAGATCCTTGTGCTGGGTTTTCGATCCAGGCTTTTAGCTTGGGGTGCATTCTCACTTGGACACCTTGCATTCACTCACACATACGTTACGGCTTTCTATTCGCTTTCATATAGAGACTTGTCTTCATTTGCCCAACAAAGTCAAGGTGTCAAGCATGTTCAAGCCATCCCAAGGCCGTGGTTTCTTTCCCTTCACTTTCCCTCGGGTTCAAACGGTTTGCCTTAGTTTGCCCTTTCTCCCTCATTTCCCTCTGGGCGGTTCAGCTTCGCTTCCTCAGGCGCGGGTGAAGGAGCGGGCGGCTCGGCGGCTCAAGGAGCTGCTGCCGGGGGTAGAGGAGGACGCCACAGTCGAGGAGGACGGACACCTGTGGTAGGGGCTACGCGTTTCTTTTTTTGTGGTCTTGTGCTCGGTTCTTGTGTTCAGTTAATTTTGGTTGTTTGTGGATTTAGCGTATAATTTAATATGTTTATGGAGAATACTCCACATATACAGAATGTGTATGCTCATTCCTTGAAATACCTGTCATCACAACCCACGATATGAGAGATGGCGGGATCTCACTTCGTCCACATGTACCCATGATTTCGATTTATCATTGGGGGATTCCCATAACATTGAAACAGGCACACTGAGGTCCAGTTGCCAGCGTGGCAATTTCTTTGGACTTTCCTTGTGCTGCGCTCTGGCATACTCCTTTCGCGTACAATAATCTTTGCAGTACCAGTTTTGCAATCGCCTCTTGTCAGTTCACAGAAATGAGACGGGCCACGGGTCAAAGGAGAACAGTCTCGCCAAAGGAGAACCCGCAGCCTCGCGGTCGGTGCTCAGTCGAGGTGAACCTTTTCTACGAGGCAGGTAGACTGGTCGCTCGAGCAAGAGCATTCATCCACAGAAGGAAGATTCCGTAAGGAAGGCAATTGGCCACTCCCAGACTCCCACACTACATTTGGTTCACATGTTTCAGGCTGTTTGGTTCAATCTCTTTGTTGCACATGGATGTATGCATCAGACGTTAGCCATGGCCACCTCAGGGTCTCACGGTGTCCTTCCCCGGTGCCGCCGAGAAGGCGCCGGTGCTGCAGCTCGGCGTCAGCGGCGCGGAGTGTCAAATCCAGGGCTTTCAGTCGGGTGACGCTGTGGTGGCAGTGTCCTTGGTGGCGGTGAATCTGGAACTGGACGGGCGCAGGAGGGGGGGATTTTGGGCTGGGCATTCGCAAGTATGAATCTTCACAAAGGATGTACGACGTTTCAATAGCAAATGACAGCGCATAAATTGCTGTGGTATTTGCAATTTGCTGGCTGACCAGGGATGATGGCCAACCCCGTAGGCTACTTACGCCCCGGAGGGGGGACAAGCTGCTGCGGGTGCGCATTTTTCGGCGGGCCTTGGGGGAGCACTCAGCCATCCAGTGGACGGCATCATGGGCACAGATCTGCATCCTCTTTCGGCAGCGCGACTATGATCGCCTGGTGGCACATGTCACCGCAGCTGTGCAGGACGCGATGCCATCGCGAAAGAAGGCGGAAGTTGCGAATGTCTCGGTGACTGACACTGGCGGTCAGAGCGAGGAGTCAGTGGCCCGGTCAGGGGCAAAGTTCCGCCTGGACATTGGGGCGCCGCTGGTTTTTCTCCCCACGGACGCTGGGGCATGGTGAGTCAAATTGTGTTGATATGTTTCTTTCAAGTAAAGATGAAACATGTGCCAATCCAACATGCCCACAGATCCTCGCCGAAAACTTCCATCACAGTATTCTTGCAATTTCCGCTAGAGGGAGTGCAGCAAGCCGATAAACTCCATGAAGCAAACAACGTGGACTGCACGACGTGAAGTCTGACGATTGGAAGCTTTCCCTGAAACTCAGCAAGACGTCTGAACTGCATGACATTTGCATCACAATTCTAAACTGGGCCTTGAGCCCAAAGCCACCGCCTTTATCACAGTTTCAGGGACGTAGATGTCTCCTGCACATCATGTTGAATGTGTGCAAATGACTTAAGCCTTTTGACGCAGCCATGACTATGAGAGGGCATAGTATCTCACAGGACAATGCTCCATGTTTGCTGTGCGGATTTGGCCTTGCCACGCAGTGCACCATTGGGCAGGATTGGTTGGCATTGCCAGGAAGAACTTGCCCAGGAAGTAGCCTTCTCATAACGCATGTAAGATATATGTACTGTAACACCCTTAATGAAATGGACTTTTGCCCTGCATCATCATACTGTTGCCACCACAAGCTGCCACAGCTCACGGAACCAGGTTTGCACAATGTGCTCCTTGGACGCTGTGTGTGGTTTCAGCTACATCTGACTGGACAGAATATCCACCAAGGATTCCGTTAGGACGGGTTCTGAGTTTGTCTCAAAATAGGCGGACCCACTGGTGGCGGTTTTCCCTTTTGGCGTCCCTTTGCCCCAAAACCAACCTGTCTCTTTTGTATGCGACTCGGCTCGGGGTTCTGTCAGGATGGGCGTTGCCTGTCGACTTCTCGGCTACCGGCTACCGGTGCCCATGAGGGTGGCCAGCTGGAGATCGACCAAGGGGAGCCTACCTTCCGGCCTTTGGAAGGCAAGAGAAAGGGCAGAGGTTGTGAAAAGAGCCATCGACGTACCGTAACATACCTCTGTGGACCCCTCCGGATGATTCCAAGTTTCCAAAGCAGAGTCCTTTGCACTGCTGAGCATTTTATGAATACCAAGCCCAGCAATAGCAACGCGCCCAGAAGCGCTCCTCTTCACTTCATGGTTTTCTCTATGAGCTGCTTCTTGTGTTTTCCTTTCTCACTCGCGGAGACAAGCCGAGCGCCAGGCGAGGGCTGCCTCGTGCTGGACTTTGGTCATGTGGCGGCGCGCGGTGGAGGCAGCAGCGAGGATGTGCAGCTGCAGCTGCGGGGTGCGCAAGTTCTGGGAGTGACCAGCAACTCGAGACGCTCGGTGAAAGTGTGAAGTGGCTGCGGTTAAGGGATGGATCGCACAGCAGAGGACCGTTGATCGGCTTACCCAGGAGTAAACGGGCAAAATCAGGTTTTCCAATCGCCAGCCAGAGCTGAGGGGCTGGAGGGGCTGTAGACATCCGTGCTAGAAGACAAATTCGGGACGAGTGGTTGAGTGCAAACGAAAGGAATGCACCAACAGCAAGGATTATGTTCAAGGAGAAAATAGTAAGGGGTGGTCAGCCCTAAGCTGTTTGACAGGAATGGGACTTTGATGCGGTGTAATGCTTGTTCACCGTGAAAACAAATTGGAACATAAGCGAACGCCTCAACAAACGAGAGCGTCCCTTCGAGTGATGTAAGCTAAGCAGTGTGAGGGGCCAGCAGTGCACGCAATCCAGGCTACTTACGGCAATAAAGCACATCACATATTACAGCGGGGTACGATCCCCTGTTGGAGATTCCTTTTTGAGATTTGGAACAGCTACCAGGCACTGCAGAATCATGCTGTCAGCCATGCGCGACTTATGCACTCAGGACAGGAGGTGCTGTGGCCAGTGAGCATGCAAGCAGTGTTGCAGATGCCCAAAGACGGCCCGGTGGAGTTCCATGCGGTGTCCATGGAGGCGGATGGCGGTGGCGCAGTTGATCATCACATGTCCCTGAGTCGGGCCAACCTCACCTTGATCCTGGACGTCTTGGCCGAGAATGTGTGCTACGCGGGGAGATCCGGCCACGTGGGGACCTCCCTTCTGCCCCAGCCGACTACACAAAACCAGAAGCGGAGGAGTGGATTCTGCTTCTCTTGGAGGTGGCCAGGCCACTCGAAGCTGAATATTTTGCCCAAGTCGAGTTGCCGTAGGACCTTCCCTTACCTGTAGCCTATTGAGTGGGAGTCTTTGAGCCAGAATGCTTCTCTGTGGAGGCCCTCATGGTTGATGAGTGGTGTTAATAGTCTGGCTCTACAAAGGTTCAGTGACCTGTTTCAGCGTCGCAGAGACTTGAGGCCAGAGCATTGAGCATTATTGACCCCTTGAAGGGTTGGGTTGCCCTGTGGCTAGGTGAGCTGATCTTTGACGTATCTTTCACCGAGACGGTGCCACTGGGGCGGTTGAGGCTCAGAGGAGGAATGCTGGGATTCAGCAGCATGCCCACAGGGACCATGTACCAACTGCACAGCTCCTCCATGACGGCGATCGATGTGCGAACACGCTCCCGCAATCGCGTGAAGACCTTGCTGGAATGTGCTGAAGGAGATGCAGCAGATGGTTTGGGATTTCGGGTGGATGTAAACGTGCCAATGGATGCTGACACAGTGGCGGTCATCCAACTGCAAAAACCTGCCATGCACGTGCTGCCTCAGCTCGTGATGGATTTGGTGACAGCTGGGCTGTCATCATGGCAACACTGCACCTTCCGCAACGATCGCGCGGCTTTGTTGGCCCAGCTGAGCATTTCCGGCCCGGGCAAGGCCGAGCCAGAGAAGCCAGACAAGCGGGGCACCCGCGTGCAGGTGAACTTCCTGGATGGAACCTTCCGCATCGCGGAGAAGTGGGCGGAACCCACGGAGCACTTCGAGTTCGCCGGCAGCTTCCTGATCCACATCTTCGTGAACATGGAGGGTATCCGCATTGAGCGGTTTGACCTGGAAGGCGGAGCTTTGAGGCTGAGATCTGCAACTCGAGCCAAAGTTGCAACGCGTGTTGCACTTGTCTGTTTTCGTTTGCCAGTGGCAAGAGTTCAAGTCTGTGCAGCACTCTGGAATGCAAACCAGAGTGCTCAATTGGCACACTAAAGTCACTAAAGCCATGCACGGAAGTCAGCACAGAAACTTGACTACGCACACTGAAACCACTCCACGTGAATGCTGGTCCTAGGGGTAGGGGTGCTCGCAGTCTCAGGCCAAGCGCAGCACCACCACATTGTGCCCCTGTTTGGAGTGGTTGGTCCGTGGTGACCAGCGACGAGTAGACGACTTTGCCCGCATGAAGCGTCACACCACCTACGATCTGCGCTCTGTGATCGTGCCACCCTACGCTATCCGTATGTCCGCCAGGGACCACAGGAGCTGTGTTGCTGTTGGAAGATTCATCCGGGTGATAGGGACGGCACAAAAGAAGTTGGGGCTCTTTCTCCTGTAATATGCACTTTCAGATTCACAGGTATCGTTGCAGACTCTCCAGATCAAGCGCCAAAGCCCCCAATGATTTGCATTTCTCAATATGTTTGATTAGGAAAACGCACTGCTATACACGAACACACACACACACAAACACAAGCACCAATTCGTAGACGCCCCAAACACACGGAATGTCCTGAAGCCCCAAACCCTTTGCAATGCGCAGGGCCATGGTCAATGCGTTTCTGGAGTTTCTCAGCATGGATGCGGAGTCTGCAGAGCCTGACTGCGAGACCAGGAGACCAAAACGCTCGACGGCTTCGAGGGCACCCGTTGGCATGGCACAAATACCGTGCACCGACATTCTAAGAGTTTTTTCCAGCAGAAGCGGCCGCTGCTTAAATATTGCATGCACGACGTCATGACCATGCCTCAACATTGTATTTGGCAAAGGCAAATTTGGAGGCTAGCCTCACTTAAGAGGAAGCACGGAATCTCAGAAGGCTTCCAAACCAGAACGGTTCAAAGAATTTCAGGGAGGGGTCAACCGCTGCGGTTTTCCATGTCCAATTCATGGGATGGCATGGATGGCTACGGGGAGGAGCCGGGACCCTTTGGTGCTGCAGCTGGTGGAGAACCGCCTGACTCTCGTGGCGGAGGTGGCTATTGAAGGGGCCGAGGTGCAGGTCATGGGTGAGGAAGGCGGCAGCTTGGTGGAAGTGGCGGCGCATTGCTTATGAAAGCAAAAGGCAAGGGGAACCAACAGTCACAGTGGGTTTGGCTCCCCCCCCCCGCAATAGAGCAGTACAGTGGTTGCAGGTATCCCACTGCGATGTTTTTTTGGCTTCTGCAGTAGCGGAGGAGCACACGTCACATCGGCAAACCTGTGCTCCATGTTCTGGGTTGTGACCATTTTCCAGAAGAGAACACTACACGTGTGTGAAGGGCCCGAAACGGTGGATGTGGACAATAACCAATGATCCAAGTACACATTGAATCGCTAGTGACGCATGGGGCAGCCTTGATCGTTTCATGGTAGTAACCTGATCAACAACTGAAGGCATTCTCCTGGGGGTGGCCTTCATTAAATTCATGTAAGATCTTATTGGAGTTATTTGAGACTCCAACCTATGAATCAAGATGCATATCCATTTCTGTGGCCAGTCAGGCAATGAGTGGCCGGGGCTTTGTGCCAACGCCAGATGCCAGCTCCTGCAGGTTACTGTCGCTGGTCCGCATGTTCCTTGAGGGGCGACAAAGCGCGTGGGTGGCTCGTTTTTCTTGAGGGTACCCTTTTTGTTGGTGCTTTAAAAGGGGAACCAAAAGGAAAACCACCATTTCGAGAGCTCCCCTAAGAAAAGCCACACCTACATGTTTTGGATCTGGTTGAACATGTTCCTACCACAGTGTCCTTTGCCGCGTGTTTTTTCTCAACCGTGGTTCTGCACCTTTTTATTTTATTTTTTTTCGGCGGGTCCTATGTTCGCAAGCATCAATTCCAACATTCGACGCCCGTGTTTTGACTCTGTGTTGTAGGGACTATTGAGTGAGGGCACAACTGCTATCAGCACATAGAGCCAAATGTGCCCGCAGATTCGAGAAAGGCGTCAAGCGAGGCTTGAGGAAAGGCAGAAGGTACTCGTGTGATTGCAAGTGTTCTCATTCTCTTTGATGGTGCGGACCACTAGAAGTGGTATGCCTTCGCGCGTATGCTTGATGCGTAGGAAGCTGACCGCGTATGAGTATGCTGAACTTGCCTGATTGCCCGCAGTTCGCTCTTGATGCACATGCTCAGCTATTTACCGGGAGGGGACCAAGCCTAGTTCTAGCAGCCATGCGGTGGTGTGTGTGTGTGTGTGTGTGTGTGTGTGGGTGTGCGTGTGCGTGTGCGTGTGCGTGTGCGTGTGCGTGTGCGTGTGCGTGTGCGTGTGCGTGTGCGTGTGCGTGTGCGTGTGCGTGTGCGTGTGCGTGTGCGTGTGCGTGCGCGTGTGCGTGTGCGTGTGCGTGTGCGTGTGCGTGTGCGTGTGCGTGTGCGTGTGCGTGTGCGTGTGCGTGTGCGTGTGCGTGTGCGTGTGTGCGTGTGCGTGTGCGTGTGCGTGTGCGTGTGCGTGTGCGTGTGCGTGTGCGTGTGCGTGTGCGTGTGCGTGTGCGTGTGCGTGTGCGTGTGCGTGTGCGTGTGCGTGTGCGTGTGCGTGTGCGTGTGCGTGTGCGTGTGCGTGTGCGTGTGCGTGTGCGTGTGCGTGTGCGTGTGCGTGTGCGTGTGCGTGTGTGTGCTTGCTGCATTCTAACGTCTCCTTCCGCTGCCAAGCGTTGTGAAGAAAGGGCGTGTGCTGGGTGGGCTGCCAGGTGGACAATCGCCAGGGTTCCACCCCGACCATCAACATCTTCGGCCGGGAGCTGGAGATCGACATTAGCGCCAGAAATCACCGACTTGGGGTCTGGGAGCCTGCTGCTTGGCACAAGAGTGATTCAATCGTAAAGCACAATCGTACACCATATGAGAATCATTCCGAGTTTGCGTTTTCATAGCTTAATTTGTGGGCTTCGAAGGATTCTGTCTACCTGATACAGCAAGTGACGCAATGGTCAAGTCTGAACTGTTGTACTTAACATTTTTGATTTGATGAGGTCCCTCTTGGCAGAAGCCCGTGGCCCATGAATGCTTGTTGAATCTGAGCTTGCCGCTTCCTGTTTGGCTCATGCCACCTGGTCTTATGTTGTGCTGATTTCGCAATGGTGTTTCAGTGTTGGTGTATAGAAACGCACCAGTTGAGAATATCCTGCAAATTGTCCGTGCAGCGTCCAAAGCGAAAGTGTCGGTTGGAAGAACACCATATTTTCTTGAACCGTTGCCAAGAAGGTGTTGATCCGTTCGCGAGTTTAGTCGGTGCCTTCGTAGGCGGCTATGTGTGTTGTTGCATAAGTGCCGGCTGCAAACATCACGCATGGTTTCTGTGATTTTTAGTTCCGAGCAGAGCACTCTGTTCAAATGAACGATTCTGCTTCTGTCTCAATGCATGACTACAGCGGATCGAATGCACTACTGTGCCAAGAAGCATTTCAGGGTCCAACTCGCTTGGCTGTCAACGCAGGCTGTTGCTTGAGTTGCTTGCTGGCTTAGTTGTTTGTGCCATTGAGGTCCTCTCCCGGTGCAGTCTCCGATTCTCCTACCACATGCAGCGCAAGCCAGACGGAGGGCCGCAGGATGTGGTCGTGCGTGGGGACGTTGCCGCCATAAAGCCGGTGAAGGTCATCATCAGCGCCCCCTTCGTTCCGTAGTCTCCTTCAGTGCCTTTTTCCTGATTTCCCCTCTAAACGCGACCACCAAAAGGGGGTGCGCTGTGTTTTTTGCTTCTCCATCAGCACCGGGCAATGCGACAAGGTTCATTTGGCCAACCGGGTGTTCAAAGAGAGCTCCGAAGCGCTGCAGTATGGCCACCTTTTCTCTGCTGTGAACATTTCCGGCCTCACTTGCCAGGCTCGCCAGGTTTGCCTGGAACTTGATCGCCAAGATGGAGCACCACCGACCCAAGTCCTCGTACTGACAAACAGTGAATATTGAGTTGTGCATCCCAAGACAGTCCGCAGTTGAGTTATGGCACAGAGTGGCAAAAGTGAAAGTTTGACTTGAGTCCGTCCATGCTGAGCCATGCTAGCCAGGTCAGTGTGGACGATGCCGAGAGCCTTATCTTGCCTTCTTCCGCCAAGGCAGCTGGGGTGCTCAGGGTACAGAAGACTACAATAAAGGCCGGCAGAAACATTATTTGAGTAACATACTGAAATAGGTGCACAACGCCGGAGGAACACCCCCAAAATGAGGTAGAGCCAGCACATGCAGATGGTTGAGATCACACACACACAGACACACACGTGGCGTTGGAAAACGAGGGGAAGGAAGATAGGCATGACCCATAATATACCTATTTGGGACTGGATCATGCACTTGACGCCACTCACTGGCAATTGAAGGCTCCAAGCACCGCTTGGTCCCAAACTCAAACATGATGATCTTAGTTGCGCAAACATGGCAACAGTGCCACTCCCAGAAGCAAACGGGCCAAACTTGGGCGTAGCTGACAGTCCGACTTTTTGGGTCCAAGTTTCCCGCTAGAAGCCTTCCGGGGGAGCCAATGGGAAACCCAATTTGCCGCAAGTCCGGAAGGCGCAGCCGTTGGATGGCCTGCTGAAGGGTCGGGGCCGCGCGGCCATCGGGGCCACGCCCTCCTTGGTGCTTCGTTTGCTGGACGAAGAGGCAGAGGAGTGCCGTCTGCTCTACGGCCGGGAGGACCGGACCGGGAGGGGCCGAGCGGGTGGGGCAAAGAGGGACCGTAAAAGGTGGCCCGCTGTCGGAAGCAGAATTCGCCAGGTGGTCATTGTCATAGTTTGCGGCTGACTTTGATTTTGGCGAGGCAAGTGTCTGTGGCCAGCGCATTGATGTTGGTCGTTCACACCGGCTTGATGGAGGTCACCCATTGCCGTCAATTCGTGTGAGGCGATTCCCGAACCGACCTTAGCTGGTATTGGTTCATTTTTAGTGGCAAGGGACATCTTGCTAGCAAGCACAACAACGATCACTCAGAAAGCTTCTTGTCGAGAAGCTATCGGCAGAGCGCTTATTCTTGAGGACGGGGGCAGGGTCGAGTTGTCGCGCTCTCCGAATGTCTGCCCCCCTGAGGCTGATCAGCCCTGGGATACAAAGACTGCTGGAGTCCTCATGTGCCGCCTGGTGATGCCAAGACCTCCGCAACTGATCTTGATCATCACTTCCACCGTTTCTTTGCAGCAAAGGAGCAGCGATTTCTGCTTGCTTTCACCTCTGACAAACCACGTTTGCATCGGAGTGCTCAGCTCGATCGGTTGAGGTCTGCGTGTGGAACCGCTCGCCGGCAGACCTGGAGGTCCGCTTCCTGAGCGCCTCTGAGGACATGGCGCCTGTGCTGCCGACGGCGCAGCACTGCACCGACGCCCGCATCTTCGACCGCGGGGACGGCGACGCGGTCCCCGCGGGCGACGCAGGCGGCGAAGCGCCGGACGGTGAGGCGGTGGACGGCGCGGAGGGCGTGCTGCAGCTCAAGGCAGGGCAGCTGCTGAGCGCGCCCTTGGCTGCGCAGCTGCGCATGGGCCAGTCGATCCTGCAGGTACGTCCGGCCACCGGAGTGCGGCACCTGAGCATTGAAAAGCCTGAGAGTTGGTGGAGAAGGGCTTTAGTGGTAGTTTGCTGCGTTTGCAGGACTGACTTGATTCTTGATTTGATTAAGGGCTAGAGGGTAGTATGGCCGGAGCTGTTTTTGGGCGAACAGCTGGCACCTAGAAGTTGGCAGGCCTGCAAGTTGTTTGCGTCCTATTGAAGGCAGGGTGTTACTTGCAGGCGGGCAATACTCAGGAGCTGAGACTTGTTGCGCGCTAGGTACAAGTGGTCAGAGCCCTTCTTCTCGGTCCCCACAAATGCTGACACGACCATTTGTGCGTCACCGCCGGACGACATGGAGGAAGTCCTGCCAAAGAATTGGCTTCACCTTACCCAGAGATGCGGAGGCAGCCCTGCTGATCCTCAGATTGGCGGATGGAGTCACGTGGAGGCAGGGACAATCTCGGTCGTTCACATGTGGGTGTGAATTTCAATAGGAGGGGTATTTATTTTAGTTTTTTGTTTTTTTGATGTTTTGTTTCGCTTTTGGCTTCTTGGCTTCTTGGCTTCTTGGCTTTTTGGCTTCTTGGCTTCTTGGCTTCTTGGCTTTTCGGCTTCTTGGCTTCTCGGCTTCTGGGCTTTTCGGCTTTTTGCTGGTTTATACGGCTTTTGGTCGCTTTTTGGCTTTTCGCATCCTCTGCATTCCCAGTTCCTATTTGAATCATCACTTCTTCGGACATCAGCCCAAACCGCCCGCTACTGTTTAGATTGTTTGCAGAGTAATTGCACCCCTATTTGAATCGACTCTTCTTCAAACATCATGGGGGGGGTTGCCGCCTCGCTCCGCAGAGATTGAATTGCACCCCTGTTGAATCATCACGTTTTCGAGCGTCCAATTTCGCGAGAAAATGCTGCAAAATACGACATTTTAGGTAATCTGTGTAATCCATGTATGTCTGTATGTATGCATTTCTTCGAACATCATAGCGGAAGCCACCCCTGCCAACCCTCCCGCTGCCTTTTAAATTCTATCGCACCCTTTCTTGAATCATTGCACCCCTACTTGAATCATCACTTCTTCCGACATCATGGGGGGGGCTGCCGCCCCCCCAAACCCCCCCGCTACGTTTTAGATTTTCTACAGAGATTTAATTGCACCCCTAGTTGAATCATCAATTCTTCGGACATCATAGGGGGGGCGGCCACCCCCCCCCAAACCCCCCCGCTAATTTTTAGACCTTTTGCAGAGATTTAATTGCACCCCTATTCGAATCATCACTTCTACGACCATCATGGGGGGGGCTGCCGCCCCCCCCAACCCCTTTTTTTTGTTTTGGTTATATTTTTTTCTGGGATTGAAATGCCCTCCTGTTTGAATCATTATTTTTTGACCCCGTCAACCCGCCAGCGACTTTTTGGATTGATTTTGTTACCCACGATTTGTTGGTAATGCTAGGGATGTTGGTCGGACATGCGGGGGATGTTGAAAACGATGCTGGGGATGTTGACGGGCTAGTGTAAAATGCGTCAATGTCGCGAGAAAATGCTGTAAAATACGACATTTTACTGGCCCGGACGAAAAAAAAAAAAAAAAAAAAAACGAAAACAAATCCCGAAATAAATCCGCACCCCTTTCAATAAGGGACCCTTGGTGGACATGATCTGGGTGGTCACCAACCACTTTTGGGGTGGAGATTCATGACCATGTCAATGCCTCAAAGGGTCTCGTGATCCGCGGAAATGGTAGTCACGGAATGCGTAGCCAGCAATAGAATGCCAACGATGATGCAACCACGTCGCTTGCTCTTCAAAGCATGCTGCTGTTTTGTTCCAATAAAATTGCGATGCTGGCAGAGCTACTGTAATGTCAGGGTTCCGCGAATTGATCATAAGCTGCATTCAACATTGGGTGATTTCACTGATTGCCAGGAAGGCATGGGGCTAGTGTGCACCCAGGGATTTTGAACAAGCGTTTCATTAGCTGTAGGAATCAGCAGCCAGAACCTTTAGCATGACAGTAAGCGTTGGCAGCCTCAGGTGACTAGGTCCTAGACTCCCCTCGAAGGAAAGCTTCCTGAAGCACCCCCCGCCCTATACCTGGTTTTACAAGCCTCAGGATAGGGAGCGCAGCTCCACCAACAAGCCATAGCCTCAACTACAATGGTCCTTCAATGTCTTGTGTCATGATGTTGAGTGCTCAGTACAAGAGTCGTACGACTGCCAGCATCTCTGCATCAGCTGTGTGTTTGCCTCCGACTACCCAGGGAAAAGTCGCATTTTCCACAAGAGCCTGACTCCCTTTGTATCTTCAAACAGCCAGGCCCAAACAACTGGCGAAAGCAGAACCTAGAGGGTAATTGCCTTCACACTCCAATTTGGGCAGCAACGCAACGATCGTCTTTCGGGCTCGCAGGTGCAGGCACCCTTTACGGTGATCAACGCCTGCCCCTGCGACGTGCTGTGCCAGTTCAACCCTCGAGTGACTAAGAGACTGATGGGCAAAGAGAAGGAGAGGCTGCCGGTGGAAACTAGCGACTTCACTGACCGTCAGACCTATACCCGTTGTCCCATTTTCAACACAGCACGCTACAGCCAACGCTGAACTTGATGAAACGATCGCCGGCGCGTTTGCATTTGTCGAGCCCATCTCTGTTATTGCTTTTGGATCAGCTGAGACAGTTTCTCTGCGATATCTCTCCACCTATTGCTTGACCTCTTGTTTCATTTCCAGCTCTGGCCGAAGATAAGCCTGAGGCAACATCGAGCTGGTGGTGGACAACGGCTTCGGTGGAGAGATCCTGATTCCCAACAACGGCCAGGCTGAGGTAATGCCGCTCCGACTGGATGAGGAGGGCTATTTCCGGTGGCTTTGCAATGGCAGGGAGGGTCGCAGCAGGCCTCGTTGGCGCCTGAACGCGCTTCTGGTGGTGCTGCAGCTTGACCTGACTTGAGAAGCGTTTGGCGTTTGGGGTAAGTTTGATTCTATACATCCAGTTCGATGGCATTTGTTTCAGCTTGACGCCGGTCACGGGGTTTACATGACGCGCTAGTTTCGGTCGGCTCAGGAATTCCAAGCGGGGAGAAGTGGAGTGGCACTGCATCCAGGCAGTCATGCCCGCTTCCACGGACTCGCGGCTGCAGCTTCGCATCCCTCCGCAGAACATGCTCCCGGCCTTCGAGTTTCTGGCCGAGGTCAGGGCTTGGGAGCCGGCGCAAACTCCCAATTGCCGCTGGCACAAGCCTTCCACAGGTGCAGAACATCAAATCACTTAATCAGCGGTGGTGTCTCTTTTTCGTTTGTTGTACGTCGTGTTCGGATTGTGTGGTTGTCGCTACATACCATCATAAGGAAGCACATGGATCAGCATCTACGCATTCCGATGTTACCCAATACTGCACCTCATCTTTGTACAAGTATCATCCCAATGGCGTGCTAGCGTTTGCCTTCATTTGACCCCTTTGCCTTTTTTGTCTGGTTTGGCTCCGGGCCACGCGGTGAGGGGCGGGAAGGACCTCACCATCTCCCTGGCCGTGCGGGACCAGCAGGGCCACGCCAGCTCGTGGTCGTTGCCCCTGAAGGCGGTGATCTCCGGTCCTTCCACCGAGGCGTACGGGGGTGATGGATATGTGTACCACGTGAGGACACAGATGTGGCTGTGAACTTTAAGAGTTGGAACCGCCAACCACCTGCGATGGACGTGAATCACCTAAACTATGTTCACCAAAGGGTCCTCTATTAAAAATCACCCCCTGTGACAGTGGCTCCTGAGTCATAGGTCAGCACTTCATAGAAAAAGGGTGGCGACACGAGTTAGTCCAAAACACGCGAACATTGGAATACCACATCCTGCCATGGTGACCTGGTTGCTGGCTTGTGTTGCGCAGTTTTTGGATGCTGCCATTGAACCCCAAGTCTTAGTACCAAAGTGGTCAATGCAAGATTTCTGTGGTCTCTTTTGATTGGCAACCTGCTTTTAAGATGGAGTTAAGTCTTAGTGAGGTGGTTCAGCTGGAGTTCAAGGGCATGTGGATCACCCTGAACGCGCTGCGGAACCAGCGAGAGTTGGTGATCTACAACCGCTGGTGGTTCGTGAACTCTACGGGTCTGGACGTGCGGCTGCTGCAGCCGGGGGGGCCTGGGCCCATGCATCCTGTGGCCTCCTTCAGCAACAAGGCCGAAAGGGGCTGGAGATCACTGGGGTCTGCTATAAATGTCCCCCACAGCCAAGCAATGAGGTGTGTGTCTAGTATAAATGTCCTACAGAGACATAGCAGAGCTACAAGGTGTGTGTGTGTGTGTGCGTGTGTGACTGTACTGCTTTCTGAGCGATGCGCAAGATTCATGATTCCGTGTAGCATGGATGACATGGCGCGTTATGGCACGCTTGCAATTTGCTTTTCAAGCTGAGGAGCCCATGTGAGTCAACCTCAGAATTATCAAAGACCACTTTATCAACGGCGTTTCATTCAATACTGGTTTTTTGCATTTTCCTTGGAGAACGATAGGGGACTCACAAAAAACGATACCCCTGAACATGGTTTGTGCTGGACCTTCGAGCTGGAGCTGCCGAAGCCTAACTTGTGTACCGTGCCTGTACTGAAAGCTGCGACTTGCGACCTGGAGGTTGCTGCCAGCAAGCAAAAGCCGCTTAGACTGACACGTGACCGCCGCAAGCTGCGACCTTCGAGCTGGAGCTGCCGAAGTGTAACTTGTGCACTGCGCTTGTGGTGAAAGTTGCGACTTGCGACCTTGAGGTTGCTGCCAGCAAGCAAGCCGCCAAGACTGATATATGATTACCGCAAGGCAGAGAAGGCTATTGTGTGTTTGCTTGGCTCTAACAGCTTATGGAAAATTGTGAAAATTTTCGTCACGCGACACACGCCCAGAACGATACCCCGGTCGATACCCCGTCGATACCCCGAGCATTGGCCCGAGTTGCAAATGTGAGGCCTAGTGCATTTGCTTACAAAAGACTACGCGTGTGGTTCCAGTGCTGTGTTTGCGTAGAAAGTTTGTCGGGTGCTTTTCGAGTTCGCGCGGCGCTATAGGGGTTTGCGTAGAAAGTTTGTTGGGCACGCGTGGTCACCGCGAAGAGGGTTCACCGGGCACTTTCCAAATTCGCACGGAGTCGCAGCGAGGGCGCTTTGACACGCGCAATCCTCGCAGAGGGTTCATTGGGCACTTTACGAATTTGCACGGCGCCACAGCGAGAGCGCTTGGGCGCGCAGGATCCCTGCAGAGGGTTCATCGGGCAGTTTTAAAATTCGCACGGCGTCACAGCGAGGGCGCTGTGGCACGCGCAATCCTCGCAGAGGGTTCATCGGGCGCTTTACAAATTCGCACGGCGCCACAGTGGGAGCGCTTCGAGGCGCGCGATCCCTGCAGAGGGTTCATCGGGCACAGCACGAACACGCGAAACGTGGAGAACGATAGGGGACTCACTAAAAGTGGAATGAATACACCCCACACAGCAAATATAGACGCTGGCTCATGTCCGTTTTCAACTGTCAATAGAGACCGTTGCTCGCAATATACAGACAGCAGTTGCTGGGCAAACTATCGCAATATGATTGCGCGGGCAGCACAACGTTACCGATGCAACATGATGCAACCCCTTGTTGCATTTACCTTGCGGACGGTGCCGGTACAGGATATCCCCTATGAGCATGTGCATGAGAGGCCCTATGCTTGTCCGCCCTCGAATTGGGCTCTGAGGTTGTGTCGGCAAACTCGCGCAGACATTTACCAGTGTTGGTTGGTTCACCCCAGTCAAGGGAATGGCTATCTGCATAAGATTCTGATTGAGGGAAACAACAATTCACTTTACCAGGGTTCCATTTTGGGTACTGTAAATGCCCAAGGGGGTGACCACCACGCAGCACGGTCGCCCAGTTTCCACCATTGCCAAAAGTCGGACTAAAGCCTTGAGTCAAAAGGGCACGGCGCGTCAAACATTGACATTCCCAGCATTCTATGTGCCCTTTGGACAGAATGGAAGCTGGACCCCATGTACATGGCTCCACCACTCAGTGGATCTCTTGACCTTCGTGAGCAGGTCGGCGAGTTGATAGGTCGTGGGGATCCATCTCATAGTCGTGGTCCAGCTGAGCTCCTTGCCCCACCGTGCAAACTCCCCATCCAGCAACTGTCGTAGAGCCGAGAGGTCGATCAGCAACCGCTTTTCCGAAGGGGCTTTGGGACCCCCTTCGCGTTTGATCGCGTCATAGAGCGATCGGCAGTCTGTCAGCGGGACTATGGGGATGATGTCCCGGCACGACCCTTCGTCGAGTCCACCTCGTCGAAGAGCACCTGCGAGGCTTGCCCGGAACGCCATAGCGTCCTCGATGCCCTCCAGAGCTGCCATCGTTTCCGCCGCAAACGTGCTCCTGCAGACCCGAGGGCATGCATGAGACTTCCACTCGCAGATCACCGCCTTGCTCTTCTCACCCTCCAGGACGTTCCGGTGCGCCATCACCAGCACATGCCCCAGTTGTGAGTAGACGCCCTGGTCAACGATGCCTTTGTTGATGTCAAAGTCCGCCTCCTTGCCGTGGACCTTGTAGAAGTCCTCCATGCGCTCCTCCGGAACGTTTGCCCAAGCCGCGTCGTGGAAGACCAGCAGAACCATATCACTCCATTTGCCACTGCCGATCTTCTGGTACTTCAACACCTCGCCCTTGCACTCCTGCGCCAGCTTGACGATCTTGTTAGTCTCCTTGACGTCGCCGTAGGTTGGTGCCCGCTGCTTCCTCTGAGCCATCGACACCCCCGTCTGCAGGTCCGGTCGGGTCTGAGACGCCAACCACGAGAGCCCCCCGACCACCGACTGGTTGTCCATCTTGGTCACCTCGTCTGCAAGTTCATCCGCGTCGTGCTCCTTGGGCATCTCCGTAGTTTCCAGCCTCGACTTCACGTAGCTGCATTGACCCAATTCGATGACGCCGTCCGCCTGCTTGATCTGGGACCCGATATACTCGAACTCCTTGTCCTCCCACTCCGCAATGGGGAAGATCCCAGACAGGTTCTTCTTGAGCTGGACCAGCTCTTGGGGGGCCGCCGCGATCAGGATATCGTCCACGTGTGTAACCAACGCTCCCCGTAGGACACCTTCTGCATTCCGCAACAGAAAGAAGCAGCTATCCAAAGGGTGCTGCTCCAACTTCAGCGTCTCGCTGTTAATCACGAAGTCCAGTGCCAAGAGCTCCTTCGCCAGCCGTTTCCACCAAAGCCGTGGTGAGTTCGCCAGGCCGAAGATGCCCTTCACCACCTCTACCAACTGGTTCGGCTCCATCTCAGGTAACCCACGTACTGGTTGTCGCATGTAGAGACCTCGTCGGGACTCCTCGCCGTTGAGAAAGGCCGCCTGCACGTCTCCCGCTGCTAACTCCCAGTCCTCCTGTGCCGCGATCAGCAATAACGTAGACAGCGAGGTCTTGCTCACTGTCGGTGCCTCCGTCTCCATTCCTCCGCCAGTAAGATCAGGGTCGCGATGGCCAGCAATGCATAGCCTCGCCTTTGGTTTGGGAGGGACAGCAGGGTCCTCACGTCGTTTCGCCACGTTCTTGTCCCTGTAGGCAAACCGGGAGTTCAGGATCCTCGACGGGTGAACCTTATTCATCACCTCCTCACTCTCCTGGGCCGAGAGGATCCGCACCGCGCCGTACTTGACGTGCTCGTCCCATTGTTTCTTCTCCGCAGCAACGTACAACTCCTTCTCGGCGGCCGGGATGTCGTTCCAAGCCACCTCCTTGTCACGCTGCTTCGCAATAGTCTTGGGGGTGCGCTTGTGCGTCGTCCACATCGCCTCGTCCACATCCTGGATGTCGTCGCCCTCCGACTTGTCCGCATAGTCGTTGACGAAGTCCATCCCCGTAATCTCCTCATCTGGCGCAGCCACACTCGGTGAGTACTCGTCCTCCCCGTCGCGCAGGTCGTCCTCGACAGCGTGAGGCACCGGCCCCTTTTGACGCATCCTCCTCCGGGGCACGCCATCCGGCCATTGCCGCTTCTGCTTCCTGTAGGCCTCCGCATCCCCGTCCTCCATGAGGTTGCTCGCATCGTGGAAGATCTCCTCGTCGTCCACTCCGTCATCGTCGATTCGTTCTAAAAGCTGCCGTAGGTCCTTCTGCATGGACTGCACCTGGAAGAGCGTGCCCAACTCACTTGACTCTGCTGGTCGTAGATGCTCTTGGGCACAAAGCAAACATCGTCCACCACGGGATACCCATACTGAGCTGCCCTCGGCCCCCACCACCGTGCCTGGGCCGATCCATTGTCCTGCACCTTGTCGTTGGCTGCCAGCACCGCCCGGAGTCTTCTTGACCCTGTAGATGTAGACAATGTCCCCGGTCTGGTACTCGTTCTTCTTCACGCGTGGCCGTCCCAAAGCCGCCCGACGCACCGCCTCCGTCGCCTGACTCTCGAAGAAAGCCATTCTTGCTGCTCGTTGGATAGCCATCTTTCTGCTCCATGCACCGCCCGCAGTGTCTGCTGGTAGTAGTTCTTGTCCTCCGTCTGCGAGTCCGTCCTCCATGCGAGGTTGTACTCCGAGTACCCATTGTGCCGGGGAGTACCCGTGCCGCCGCCGAAGGTTGTTCTTGGCCTGCACCACCTGAAGCAATGCCCATTCCGCCTCCTGGAAGTTGATGTTTTCGTGTTCCACCACCTTCTCCCACATCGTACGCAGCCAACCTTGCTGTCGCTCAAGTTGTCCAAGCTGCCAATGAGCCTGTCCTGCAATGTACTTCACGTGGATCCCGCGGTTTTCCATCTCGTCAACAAAGTTCTTCTGAAATCCCCGCTCCTGGTCACAGACCATCCGCTTAGGCATGCCGGCCCACTCCAACCAAAGTTGACGAACAGACTCTGCAAGATCCTCGGAGAGCTTGCTCTGGATTTTCCGGCAAACGTGGTAGCCCGAGGCCAAATCCATGACCGACAGGATAGAGTGCTTAACCTTGCCTTGGTCATAGAGGTAAAAGAGATCGACCGCCACCTCGTCATTGAAGTCCATAGGCAGCACAGTCTTCGCGGGTCGTTGTGTCCCCGGTCGCCTCAACCTCTGGCACGTGTCACACCTTAGCCCCTGCGCACCCTTGATGGCCTCCTCCGTCGCACCACATAGCCGTAGATGTCGCGTCAAGTCCTTGTTGCTGGGGTGTCCAAGGTTCTGGTGGATCCGCCGGAGCGCCGAAGCGGTAGCGGCTGAAGTAGCCTTCGGGAGCTTGATGCCGGAAGCCCCCACCAAGTCATCCTCCGGTTGTTGATCTCCACCAACGTCCTCCTCCCCTGCATCCGCCACATAGGCAGTCACGTAGGAGCTGTCCACTTTGCATGTTGCTTCTACCACCGCCCGTGCAAAACTCCAGGTATAGCATGCTGAAGGTGCCGTATTCGCCCCTGCTGTCTGGCCATGGTCATGTCGTTTGTCGCATCTCCTGGCCAGTTCGTGATGGTAGATCTCAGAGCTGACCAAAAGTTTGGTCGGCTTCTTCAGGAGCTTGCCATCGGACTTGCCCTTCAGGCCGTAGGCGCACATGTCGAGGTTGCACTCCAGGAGATGGTAGTCCTTGATGACAGACGTCATCCTAGGGGTATGCCACAGTTCACTCTGGGCGGGATTCTCGATGATGATGTGCCTACCACCACTCCGCTGCAACCGCGCACACTCCTCCGCGAACTCCTGGAACATCCGCTCATGTTGTCGGAGTCGCCGAAGTTGGTTCGCCCTGCCGTAGTAGTTGATCCTCGTCCAAGGACTCCATAAGGTGCAAGGGGGTGCCAACCAAACCAGCTTCGGCTTAAACTTCCGGATGTCCTCAAGGATATTCTCCCTGACCTCCTTGATGCGGATGTCGTGGCCGAGTAGAAGATCACGCGGTTCCATAACGTCGTACCCCTTCGCCGCGAAGGCCTGCGTGATGTGGTTCTTACCGGCAAAGACCTCCAGCACGTAGGGTTGTCCCTCCTCCCCAAACCTCGGGAGCACTGTCGCGTTGTACAGGTCCTTGATCGGCTCGACCACCGCCTCGTTAGCCTCCACCATGACGGGCCCAGCCAGCGCCACTGCCGTACTCAAAAATGCCTGCCACACCTTCCGCGTCCAACTGCCGATCATCTTCCGCGTGGAGTTCTTGACCTTCCGTCCCCGGCATGAGTTGATCCTGTGCTCAATGTCATCGTCATAGTCCAGGTTGTCCTCGTTCACCGTGAGGTCGCCGCTGCTCTCCCGGGGCTCCCCGATCTTCTCCAACTTCGCTACTGCCTTCTGCTTGGCTCGCCCTTCTCTCACTGCCCAGTAGCGTCTGCGCTTCCACTGCGACCGGGAGGATCCAGCCGTTGCTTCTGTCGGAGGATGGCCAACTGTGTCTCCAACTCCAGGATCTTCTTGTTGGCGTCCGCATCCGTCTCCGAGTCCATGGGATCCGCCTGCAGCCAGGACCCGTCCGAGTCGCTCGTCGCGGGCGTGGCCCTCTTCGCAGTCGTAGTAGACGTCATCGCCTTCTTGCGAATCGTCGGCTTGAAGTCCATCGTGCTCTTGGGGGGTGCCACCACCGCCGCTTCCTCCGGGTCGATGACTTCCTCCTCGAGAGCCTCCAATTCCATCCACCGCTTTGCCCACGTTGCAAACCGTACCAGTGCCGCCGCCGGGGTCTCGTTCTTGGATACCTCTTCCACCGCCCAGAGCCGGTAGTCCATCGGGATCGCCTCGTAGGTCTTCCCCTTGTAGCGTCCGAAGGAGATCTCTTCCTTGCTGTGGCCGCCCTCCGCATAGCGTAGAGCTTGGATGAGGCATCCCTTGTTGGCCGTTGCCGGAACTCGGAGTTTCTTCTTGTTGCACATCTCCCGCAGCTCGCCCACCGTGAACCGCGTGTAGCCCTTGGCCAGCTCCTCCGTTTTGGTCAGATGCTTCTTGAGGATCTCCTGCAACTCTGGCACCGTCGCCTTCTGGTCGTAGTCGATGAGCAAATCGTCCAACTTCTCCACGAGCTCGGCCCTCTTCATCTTCCATGGCTTCAGCTCGGGCATATAGCGAATTGGGGGGCGGTCCACCGCCAGTTCCGTCCTCCTCTCGGATAGCTCGAGGGATCAGGCTTCGGCCGATCCACAACTCATCAACCCTGCACAACTCGTTGCATGTCCAATCGTGGGTCTGGTGAGTCCACTCGCATGTCCGGCAGGATATCATGACCGCTTCGCACTTGTTCCCCAACGATTCCAGCAGCATTTGTTTCAACTCAACATTGGTGGTCTGCCAAGCACCAGGGGAAAAAGGCCTCCTCCGTGGTACCATGTGAATCCGCACAAAATGGGTGTCGGTTTCAATCCAGAAGTCTTTGGAAATGCTGCTCCCCGACCACCAAGCCCAAAACCAGTCAACATCCAGTAGGGGGGCCACCAATTTGTCCTTGTGAGCCTGCTCAACCTTCTTGGGGTAGAATATGTGGTTGACCCTCATATCGTTCCCCGCTCCCCCATGCACCATGTAGCACGATCGGGCTGGTCGGTGAACGTCACACTCCACCACCGACCAATCCACGGCCTCCGGCCAGGATGGCCAGCAAATGCCACCTCCGGTGACAACTACCATGGGGTGCCCCGTCTCGGTCTGGCCAAGCTTGTAGCCCTCAACGCCGAGCTCACTGAAGTCCGCCACGTGCTTGCTGATGTCATAGCACATGCCGAGGCCCGCCAAAACATTCCTGCTCAGCAGCAACGGCAGGACACACTTGACCTCCGCGATCTTCAGGATAAAGGGTGCTCCGTTGATCTGCAGCCAAACCACCAGGGCACGCTCAGAACGAAAAATGTCCGGCCCACCAAACTTGAAGTTCTCCTCCTGTGCCATGAAGAAGTACGGGATGTTGTTTTCCTTCGCCTTCCGCACCATCCGCCGGATCCACGGTCGCCCCGCAACCGTCCTGCTACACGCGCAATCAGTAATGCCGTAGAGCTCGGTCTCCGTCATGCTGTCAGTCATGTAGGCGACGTGGCAGAACTTCACCTGGTGTGCGTCCCGCTTGTCACCCTGCGGGTTCTTCTGGTTGAGGGGGCACTCCGGGTCCTTGTGCCAGTGCCCCTTCTTCTTGCACGCGGAGCAGTAGGACCTCGCCTTGGCCGCCTTGATGCGCTCCTCCTGGTTCGCCTTCGGATTGATGCCCCTCGCGTTCATGATGGTGCGGTACTTGGACTTCGCGTTCTGGTAGGTCACATATGCCTCCTCCGCCTCTTCATCGATGCCCTCCACGTCCATGTCTAGCTCCGACTCCTCGTCCTCGGACTGTCCCTCCCCCAGCTCCTCGGTCACATAGGCCTGCTGACCCTTCTTGTTCTGGTCGTACTTATCGTTGTTCCGTCCCCGATGAGATTCCCAAAGTCGACGGTTCATCCTGTCCTGGATGATGGCCGCGTCCTGGAGCTTGTAGAGGTTGTAGTCGTTGCCCGTGGATGAGAGGAGGTTGAGCTCGGTCGCATTGTCGAGGCGAAGTTTATCCATATACCACCAAGCCAGGCAGACGTCAGGCAAAGCGCAACCCACCTCCTTCAGCCTGGCGGCCTGTCGGTCAAACTCCTGGTTGAACTCCTTCACGTCCTGGTTGTTGTGCTTCTTAAGGTTCTTGAAGAAGTCCGTCATGTACTTGCCCACCTTGATCACCTCGCGGTCCAAGTAGCGATTGCGGATCCAGTCGATGAAGTAGTCCATGCCAGAGTCCCCGTCCAGCCATTCCACATCGAGCTCCTCCGCGTCACGCCATGCCCGCCCCGTGAGGTGGTTGTACAACATCAAGGCCTGCTTGTAGCTCTTGATCTTCGTGACCCGCCGCCAAGCCTCGATCTTCCGGAGATAGCCCCTTGCCTTCACACCGTCCCTGTCGTCCTCTGCCGAAAACTCCGGGACCAGGATCTTGTCCGCGCCGCCGCCGCGATCGCGATCTTCCTCCCACGACCAAGCACTGCTTTCTCGCCGAGAACCCGGTTGCCCACGTAGTTCCCAGCGTAGTCGTTCTTGTTCATACCACTCCTGCCACTCCGCAGCAGTCCACTGATCCGCCCACGACACAGACCGCGCTGAGCCCCCGTTGACTGACCCATTCAGTACATCCTCAGCAGCCTCCTGTGGCTCGGGCCCCCCTGTCCTCACCGAACTCCTCGAAGTCCATGAAGTTGCCGTCACCGCAGCACCAAGCCCGAAAAGGGGGCACAGATCACACCCTCAAGGTTCACCACCAAGCCGTAGGCGAGCAGCAGAACGTCCGGACCGACAACCAGTGCCACCGTAGTTGTTCAGCTCCGCTACCAATGTAAATGCCCAAGGGGGTGACCACCACGCAGCACGGTCGCCCAGTTTCCACCATTGCCAAAAGTCGGACTAAAGCCTTGAGTCAAAAGGGCACGGCGCGTCAAACATTGACAGGTACCTATTTTTGACCCACAGCAATATGCATTTTGCTAAGACTAACTCGTGACAGGTGTCCCTGCTGCCGGAGATCCAAAACGAAGCCGTGGACGGCGTGGCCTTTGTTGGCCTGCGCTCCCATGCACCGGTGGAGGTGAGGGTGCCGGACGTGAACGGAGCGGTGCCTGTGTCGGTGACAGCGCTCCACCCCTGCTGCCTCAGGACAGAATCAACCGCTTGTGGCAGTTTCCACTCGGGTTCAGTGTCCATGGGGGCTCTTTCCTCAAAAGGGATGGCACAGAATGACACATTGGCTCAGTGGCCTTTCCTTTTGCATCTAGTAGTGGAGACTGCGCACTTTAAACTACACTCCAAGCATTAACTCATGGGCCCTGGGTATCAAATCTAGAGCCTCAGGAGCGTTTGAAAAGGGCGCCGAAGGGACACCCTTGCCATTGCTTGACTGCTGTTGGGTTGGATCTTTAGACTTTAACTTTTTGGGAAATAAAGGTGTTTTCCACTAAACCCCCAAAAAGTTTAACTTTTTGCAGAGGGGTCAACAGCAACCAAGATTGGAGGATGTTGTTTGGAAACGCTTGACATTTTCAGCTCGATTTGTTTTCTCTTTCGGAGGACGGAGGCAGTGACGCTGCCTGAGGCCATGAGGGGGGTGCCCAGCTGTTTGGTAAGCCTGGTGCCAGCCATGATGGTCTTCAACCACACTGAGCTGCTTGGCTTCCGCCCCTTCGAACATGATGAAACCACTTTCGCTTAAAGAACCTCCTTTTGGTTGTCCTTTAGGGGACCAATGGCCGGTTGCTAGAATGTTACCTACAGACACGGATGGTGGCTGGCGATTTGGAGTTTGCAGGTCTCATGTCCAAGGGAAGCGTGCAGATCTCAATGCGGATTTTGCAGCTCAGTCTCATGGCCAAGCAACTGACCTCCCACCAAACCCGCCAACATGTCAGAATTTATGCTATCACAGACCTTCGTTTGTGGAACTGCAAGTGGCTGACTTGTTCCGGGCAATCTATTTGAGAAAGCTTATCCTGTGGCGCTTGAAGCCAGTGAGCCTCTTTAACCCTATTCAGGCTGGAGATCGGCTTCCGGCAGTACAACTGCCCCTCGGAGACAGCTTTGTGGGTGAGCTCGGGCCTGAGCCGCGCCCTTTGGTGGCACAGCACCGCGGACCAGGTGATTCAGATGGCGGCCAGGCAGGGGACATTTGAAATTGGAGCGAGAGGTCCGCTCGCAAGGATCGTTCGCTTGACTTGGTTGAAAGATGCTGTATGACCATGTTATCTGCCTGAGCAAGCATCCCTGAAAGTGTTTATCATTGGGTTTTGGTGGTTTATTGACAAGTCTCTTTGTGTCCGAGTTCCGTCAGGAAGGATGAGCACGCCAAGCGGACCTGGAGCGTGCCCTTTGAGTTGAAGGAGTCTAACATCGGGGCTTACCCCATGGTCCTGAAGTGCGGCCCCTCCCGCCAGCTCTTCTGCGTGTGCCTGGACTACGATGCGGCCAGCCTGGCCGTGACAGTCAAGGACGTTTCCAACCATAGAGCTAACGGAGTGCAGTCTAAGAGTCTATTTGAAGATGCCCCACCCTGTCCACTTCCAATAGCAGGTGCAACACAAGAAGTACTCCCCGATTGCGTTCAGACCTTGACGTGACAGCAACAGGGTGGTGGGTGGGAAGGTGTGTCCGCTAGCCGAAGAATTAAGCATGAAGCTCATTCTCTGAATGTTGAAGGACGCCTCCTTCTGCCACACGCTCACCAACAAGCATCCTGAATTGAAGCTGCTGGCAAGCATGGAAGGAGTTGGAGAGGAGCTGTGCCTCTGTTTGACTCGCGCAATGTAGAGTCAAAGCCTCAATGGTGGTTGTAGTTTGCTCGTTGAGAGACCCCTTAGATTAAAATGTATGATAGACACTGACAATACTGAAAAGTTAGAAAGACATGCTATTGTCACCGTTTGTCACTGGCGACGCTGGCCTTGGAGATCCATACTTGCTAGCACTTGTTTGCTTCGGTTTGGAAGGCCTGGTTGGAAGGGCCGTGGACCTGCTATGCTCGTCATTGCTCTGTGACATTTCTCCTTTGTTCCATTGCACCTGCACTAAACTTCCTACTTGCACCGGGCCTCACATTTGATGTTTCCCTTTGGGGATGTTAATATCATCTTGGCCATTTTGAAAGGAGTTTCGTATGAAGTGATGTTTAACAAGGACCCATGGGCCAGAATTTTAATTCGGATGGACATCATTTGTTGGATTCATGTCCACCCACCACTTTGTTCAGGTCCTTCCCTAGAAATCATCGCCATATCACACCTCCCTACGATTCATAGCCATAGGAACCCTATGCGTCGCACCTAGAGGACCCACTCTACAGCTTCGAGGCAGACTTCGGGCACACCGCGGCCTTCGGGGGCCGAGGGCTGGGAAGTCGGCCCCGGCTGCGCCTGGCGGTGCAGCACTGCCTGGACCCGGCGCAGAAGGCCACGGCGCCCCGGAGCCAATGGACTTGGGTGGCCGGTTCCCAGCCGTCCCCCAAGGGGTTTTTGGTCGGTTTCAGTGGGGGGCTCCATGTAACCCACCAAAAGTTAAACCCTTGGCATGGGATCTAAGGACAGCCCATGGTGGCTTTCATTGAAAGGAAATGACCACCACCCAACATGGGGGTTCCCCGGGGCAAGATGGATACCGCTTGGATGGGTGTTGTTTCGGGTTCGGCTTTGCCGATCAAATCTTGATCTACTGGTTCTGCTTGGGTCGGTCTGAGACTTATAATATGTTTCTGGACATCCTCGAGCCCTTCCATCAGTCTTGAGGCTTATTGCTTGTGTTAGCATGCCTGTTTGCAATGTGCTTTGCGCTGTTTTCCCAGCTGCTATGATGCACTGGTCAGTTGGCTTCTAGGATGCTTGGTTTCAAAACACTGTCAGAAGCTGTGACATACTTAAGTTCACAGTATGAGACCGAGGCACCGTTGTCATGAAACAGACCTAAAGTGCAATGTGTATGCACGGAAACGCTTGGGGACTCACAAAAGGCGATACCCTTGCACGCTACCCCTGCAAAGGGCGAACATCGGAAATAACATCGGCACACACACACACACACGCACAAACATACGCCATCAAGCAAGCATTTACCAAGCAGCTAATGCTTGTTGATCACCCTGCATAATTCGATATGTGCTTGACAAATTGCCGGGATTGGCATGCCTGCTTCCGGAACTTGCACAACGACTCAATATGAAAGATAGATGGGGTACCACAAAACAACACTCTTCACCTCGGCAGCTTACCTGAAGTTGCTCCTTTGCGTAGGCTTGTCACTGGTTTTGTCCATGGCCTATTCGCGTGGCTTCGGCGTGTTGCCCAACAGCCCTGTTTTCCACACCGAGGTCATGGTGGACCTGCATCGCAGCGGCATCCACCGAGTCCCCCTGTGCAGCACAGGGAACTCAGTGGCCAAAGCCAAGAGGAAATCGACGTTGCGCGTCAGTGCCGCGGTTTCGGTGGTACTCCGCAATCGAGTGGCCTTGGTCTCCGTGACACCCGGCATAGACGTGGCACGACAGGGGCCCCAGAACGGGGACGAGGACAACGAGGATTCAACTCTCAGGACGGGCAGAGTAGGATAGGTGTTTGAAGCGCCTTCCCAAAATGCAAACAAGCAGCTTGTGTAGCTGTTCGGTAAATTCCCCAAGCTCTTTTATTTGTACCAGACATTACAGCTGGTTGCGTGATTTAGGTTTTCTTATTTAGCCCAGAAAGGCATTCAGAACATGTTGTCCCGCTTGTGTTTGGAGGACGTTGACTGGCGAGTTGCGGGTGGACTCGTTGTGCATCGCCCTGGTGGTGGAAGGGCCCTCACTTCTGTCCACCTCAGTATGGGGGGCGGGCGCTAATGCGGCGACGGAGGTCAAGCAGAGAAGAGAAGCCTTCACCGTGAATCTCAGCCAAGTGCAGGTGCAGGTGTCGCAGACCCCGGACAAGAGCCGAAACGTGGACTTCCAGATCTGGGATGTCCAGGTCGGTTTGTCAGGGCTCATTTCATTCAAATAAATCAGAGGGCTCGCTTTGGACGCTTCACGGTTGCCAAGCAGTGCCTTTGTTTTGGAAAAGTCAGAGAACCGTGGCCAGAGAAACACTCGAAGATTCGAAGGGGGCTTGAAGTTGGCATAGCACAGGTAGACATGCAGCACCCCAGACGCGATGTGATCCTGAAGAGCACCTCCCAGCCTGCAGCAACCAGGCAAACGTTGCTTCTTTGTTTCATGTGTGTGTGTGTGTGCGCGGGCAAGCATGTGTGTGTGTGTGTGAGAGAAAGAGCATTCGGAGTGTTCCGACTCAATAACTACATAAGGTTAGCAATGCCTGGTTCTTTTTTCCAAGCCAGCGCCACTCTTAAACTTGGGTTTCCTTTTGCCGAGTTCTGGGAGTTTGTGTTGGGCAGCTTACTTTTGCAGCTCAGGTAAGAACGCATACTCGGCGCGATGACGTGCGCATGTTAGATGCCCATCTCCGGGAAGTGCAGTTGGTGCTGGGGAATTTGGAGGTTTCCGTGTCTGGGGCGCTCATGGATCAGGGGCGGATGCTGAGGAGATCTCAAAACAAATCGAAGACGCGTGCGATCAATATGGCTCGTCTACCGTTGTCAGCAGGATGATCAGAAGGAACATTGTCCATTGCGCTTCCATACTCGTTCCAACATGATGGCAACATGTTGGGATAGAGCGACATGAAGGTAGGTTGCTTGTGGTGATTTATTCTGATCACTTGGAGAAAGAGAGGGCTTGCTAGCGTGCCTTTGACAGGAACTTTCGCAACCTTTTTCAACGGAGCTAGGACCATCCCAAGGGGTTGCTTTTCACAAGGCGTACCCTGGATACGGTTCATGCATGTTTGCAATATGCTCAAGCAGCAGTATGGCCCCTGAGGAGGAATCTAACCCTGGGCGCTGGCCTCACCTTTGCGGATGTGTTGGTTCGCGGGAAGGGCGCCCTCCATCTCAGCAACCCACCGCCTGCCTCATCCAAGCTGGTGGTGAACAAGCTGAAAGTGGGGGATGCCAAAGTGGATGTGTGGTGCCAGCTGCATCTTCCAGACGCCCACTACCTGCCAAAGTCCCTGAGGGATACCATCCAAGTGGTCAGCCTCGGCACCTCTCGGCTGGATGTGAAGGGCGCACAGGTCAAGCTGCCACAGCAAGTCCTGTTTGAGCAGGACCCGCTTGCATTGGCCTGTGTGTCTGCTGCCTGCATGCCCGCGTGTTTTCTTTGCGTGCCCGCGTGCTTGCCTGGGTGTCCGCGTGTTTGCGTGGGTGTCCGCGAATGTTTCTGCGTGTGTGTGTGCGTGTGCGTGTGCGTGCGCGTGCGTGCGTGCGTGCCTGTGTCTGTGTCTGTGTCTGTGTCTGTGTCTGTGTCTGTGTCTGTGTCTGTGTCTGTGTGTGTGTCGGTGTCTGTGTCTGTGTCTGTGTCTGTGCCTGTGCCTGTTCCTGTGCCTGTGCCTGTGCCTGTGCCTGTGCCTGTGCCTGTGCCTGTGCCTGTGCCTGTGCCTGTGCCTGTGCCTGTGCCTGTGCCTGTGCCTGTGCCTGTGCCTGTGCCTGTGCCTGTGCCTGTGCGTGCGCGTGCGTGCGTGCGTGCCTGTGTCTGTGTGTGTGTCGGTGTCTGTGTCCTGTGTGTGCCTGTGCCTGTGCCTGTGCCTGTGCCTGTGCCTGTGCCTGTGCCTGTGCCTGTGCCTGTGCCTGTGCCTGTGCCTGTGCCTGTGCCTGTGCCTGTGCCTGTGCCTGTGCCTGTGCCTGTGCCTGTGCCTGTGCCTGTGCCTGTGCCTGTGCCTGTGCCTGTGCCTGTGTCTGTGTCTGTGTCTGTGTCTGTGTCTGTGTCTGTGTCTGTGTCTGTGTCTGTGTCTGTGTCTGTGTCTGTGTCTGTGTCTGTGTCTGTGTCTGTGTCTGTGTCTGTGTCTGTGTCTGTGTCTGTGTCTGTGTCTGTGTCTGTGTCTGTGTCTGTGTCTGTGTCTGTGTCTGTGTCTGTGTCTGTGTCTGTGTCTGTGTCTGTGTCTGTGTCTGTGTCTGTGTCTGTGTCTGTGTCTGTGTCTGTGTCTGTGTCTGTGTCTGTGTCTGTGTCTGTGTCTGTGTCTGTGTCTGTGTCTGTGTCTGTGTCTGTGTCTGTGTCTGTCTGTCTGTCTGTGTCTGTGTCTGTGTCTGTGTCTGTGTCTGTGTCTGTGTCTGTGTCTGTGTCTGTGTCTGTGTCTGTGTCTGTGTCTGTGTCTGTGTCTGTGTCTGTGTCTGTGTCTGTGTCTGTGTCTGTGTCTGTGTGCGTGCGCACGTGCGTGTGGAAGTGTGTGTGTGTGTGTGGACGGGTGCGTGCCTGCGTGCCTGCGTGCCTGCGTGCCTGCGGTGCGTGCCTGCGATGGGTTGGTGGGTGGGTGGAGTGGTGGGTGGGTGAGTGAGTGTGTGTGTGTGTATTTTTATTTGCGTGCATTTATTGGTATGTGTTTTTGTGTTGATGGTTTGCACTGTGGTTGCATTACTACTGCTTGTGGGACATTGTATGGTCGCAGCTGCATTTGTGTTGTTTGGGAGAGTTCTGTTTGTGTGAATCCACACACGTGTTGACTGGTGAACAAATGTCTTATGCTTGAGACTGGATGTGCAGGATGCTGCGGAAGGCAACTTCAGCATCGTCTTCGAAAGGGTCTGCCAACATTATTTGCCTCTGGTCAAAGCTTGCTGGCGATCGCTTCTGTGGCTCGTACGCCTCAGCATTTGTTTGTTTGCTGTGACTTCCTGTTTTTGTTTGTGAATCTGGATCTGCGGCCCCTTAGTGAGCAACATCTACTTTAAGCAGTGATTTCTCTAAAGGAGGAGCCACATTACTGTAACCATGTGTCACTAAGTCTTGTTTGTTGGAGACTGTTTAGCTATGAGAGGTGCCTCATGCGACTGGCTGGCACTTCTGAAGCCTGCGTTAAGCCTGTGTCACTCGCTGCCATATCGCAACAAGAACCCTTTGGTTTTCATGAAACCCCACCCAAGGATTGGGAAGAAGCCAAAGCCTCCGAAAAACGGGATTGCTACCCTCGCAACAAAGAAAATAATTGGACCCACGGGGAGCCGCGCCCATCGAGGCAGCACTCGAACATCTTCCTGGGGGGGCTCCTGAGCCGGCACACCTGGAACCCGCGGCAGCGCCGAACTTGGCCCAGTGTCAGCCCAGTGTGCCGTATCGGGCCCCATGGGGAGCTGATTCTGAACGAGTGATGGCGGGGCAGGGCCTGGGACCTTGAGTCAAGGAGCAATGAGAGGAATTCTTCCTAGAGAAATGAAAGCCTTGAATGAGAGGAGTCCAATTTGGCAATATTGGTTTCAAAATGCCTCTGTGGTCGCTGTGAAGGGATGTAGGCGCAGTAGCCCACACTTCTTGGCAGCCAAAGTCGTGCATCACTTTGGTTCAAGTTGACTCACCGGTGCATGGTGCATGCTCGTGCAGCTCAACATCCAAGACGGCCGAAGGATAGCATCTAGCCTTGCCAGGGTCCAAGCCATCCACCGTGGATTGAGATCGCCTCGGGCTTGTGGAGCGAATGCTCCATCGAGGTCCATTGTACAAAGTTCGGGCTCGAAGCCCAGGTGCAAAGTTTGCTGGAACTTGGGGATGGCTTGTTGGACTGGAGGACGCTGCCAATGTATATGTCCGTGCTGAGTGCCAAGATCAGTCACATGCTGAAGTAAGGCAACAAGCCACTCCGAGAAAAGCTGTCCACCTGGCTTTGCTTTGCCCTTTTGGAGGAGCTGAGCAGAAAGTCTCACGACGAAAGGCGCCAAAAATACGACCAAAACAAAATGCAGCGAGGGATTCTCAAACAGGGTCCATATGACAGTATCTCCCTTGTTCGATCTTTGCAGCTTGTCATTTTTGGCATCACTCCCCTTTTGGTGGACCTGCACAAAAGCAAACCCCCTGGCCGGTGAGTGACTTGAGTCGCCCTTGACATTTCGCTAGATTTCGGCAGCAAGGGCAGAGAAGGAAACGGGATGCCCAGCGGCGAAACGGCTTTGGCTGGGCCCAGGTAGAATTCCATTTTGCAACCTCTAGTCCAGCGCTTCATGCACACTCTGGTCATGCAAGCTGCACAACGTTGGAACACTTGCCCTCCCACTGCCTTGCTTTTCCACATCTCAACCCTCCTCTGGCTCGTTGCAGGTGCAAGCAGTGCCCCGCCCCAAAAAGAGTCCTCGGCATTTTGGGAGGTCGATGACGATGATGGCCCAGTTGGGCTCCGACTTCGACGAGCAGCTCTTCAAGCCGTCCCTCGAGTTCAATAGGGGATGGAGTTTGGCGGGACAGGAGCTAGTCGTTGAGGTGACATGCGAAAAATTGGGCCGACTAGGTGACTCCTCCACATGGCGTTGGGTATCTTCCTTCTAAGGTATTAGTGATATTTGGTATGGGTTTCGTCTGAATAAGTCCTGTACTTTGGTCAACCGATAGACATTGAAGGATCCCTCACGGCATGATGATTCCCGTATAATCTTGGAAATGGTCATTCTCATGAGGAGTATGACCTTGGCAAGGTTTCTCCCACGAGCTGGGGGTTGTCACAACCAACACTTCTGCATGGCAGGATGTCAGCTGTTCTGTGGCCACTGGGTCCTGCACAGGCTGTTTCAGGAGTGCGTTTAGGTTTTAGGCTCTCAGGGTTCGGGTTTCAGGGCTTTTCGAGCTCGGAGTTTCGGTTCAGGGTGCGTTGTCACAAAGGATTCCAGAACATGTTTCGGGCTTTCGACCTTCAGAGTTTAGCTCGATGTTGCCACGCAACTGAGAGGCGCCCCGCAACACAAAGCTACCCTTCTTCAGGAACCCACGTGCCCTTGGGGCCTCTAGATTTGATTCCGGACTCAAGCCATCTCAAGCCCCACAGGGAGCTCTACGAGCTGGACTCGGAGAATGATGCCCAGGACGGCCTGACTCGCCTGCTCGGGTCGGGAGCTCCACCCCGTGGGGTAGTTTTCCATTGGGAAGCCCCATTTGATTAGTACAGTCCTCAGGATTCCGAAGCTGATATTGGCTGTTCCGGCGCCTGCGCACATTCATATATACATATATATAAATAATATATACATATATATATATATATATACACTTGTATGTGTATGTGCTGTGCCATGTGCACACGCACGTGTAAATGTCAGTGTGTATCTCTATCTATTTGTTTGTCTGTCTATCTAGATAGATAGACAAAAACAATAGACTCAAACAAGCGACAAGAAGTGACCCACACTTCTTGAAACTCCAACTTGGCAAGCTTAACATACACTTCGCAAGAGCGGACTGACTTCAGGTTCCAGAAAGGTCTTTCGCATGTCAAACCCGCTCCACCCGTCCTGAAGTTGCAGGTGAAAGCCCAGGTATATCTATGTACACCGCATTCAGGGTAGTTCTCAAACTTCATGCACACGGCAAAGCTGTTTTCGTGAACGGAGTTAAGATCTTTCGGGCTTGCCGCTAAAATTGTTTCGGGATGTTTGAGAGTGACACCGACGCGCTAAAGTCTTTTCTGCTTCTTCCCCGCTTTTCCATTCTGCACACTCCTGCAGTTTTGAGCGACCAACCGCCTTTTTGGGAGCGTCCCGAGCCGTTTTTGGCTAGGTTTGGCTTTGGGGAACCTGGAAGCATCCAGTCGGGGCAATTGACATCCCAGGAGCAGCAGCTGCTGCCTTACCCCACCTGGTCGCCTTTGGGCAACATGGACCGAGCTGGGAACCGGGAGAGCGGTGGGCGGCCATGTTGCGGTGGCATTTTTTTTCTTGGGGGGGGGGGGACTATGGTACCAATAGCCAAAAGGTGATGCTTGACTTCATGTTACTTGACAAGTCGGACAAGCCGGTGTTTCCTCGTTTTGAACTCAACCTGTCCAGGATGACATGAAGCTGCCAGGCGGGCCGCAGATCTGCGTCCGGTCTTGGAAATCGTGAAGCTGAGGTCACCTGGCTGTAGCTGAAAACAAAGTTCCAAGGGGAAGCGATCACCAGCGATCGTTTTGGTTCGCTAATTTGACACCACCTTTCCTGATGGCACGAATGGATCAGCAATTTGCTACACTTTTGGCTTGCGCAGCTGACTCGCCAGCGAGCACTGTGCCTACACCCTGTGCCTACACCCTGTGCCTACATTGTCTGTTTACGGGAGTTTTCCCGTGGTGGGAGCATCTCTCAAACACAGCAATCGCTTCCCCCCATTATTAACCCCTCCTATACAGGGTCCCAGCGGGTCCCAAAAGGTTTCCACTAGGACCCTCATCCAAATGGGTGTCTCGGGGTGCAAAAGCTGCTGAAGGCATCCCTAATGAGTTTGTTTTAGTATTTGGTGAAGTAAAACTAAAAGGGGAGATATGTTTTGGATTTTGGGCTGAACAAATATTCATTCACAGGGGTGGTTCATGGAGAGGGGGCGGGAAGGGATTAGGTCACAGGGCTGACAGGGTCTAGGCAGAATACGTGACAGAGCGTCTTAGCAGATGTCAGCACACATTTGCAGTGTGCAATGATCATCAAATGACAACCGAGTAAATATACATTATATGGTGGTACACTATCCAAAGCTGCCATGCAACCTTCTGGTGTCAATCTTCCTTGCATCAAATGTTATTGGTTTTCAGCGCCGAATCAAATTAAACTGACTGGACCTAGTCTAAAACCCGTTCTCGAAAGAGGCCCTTTTCCCAGACTGTGTATGTTTTTTTGTGGGGTTCTCGCCCCCAAACCTGGGATGACATTCAACTTCCGGTGCACCATACGTCTTCTCCGAACTTCAACTTTCAGGCCCGCTGAGCTTTGTCCAATCGGACTGGTTTTTGGTGGTGCCGGGAGCTGAGCGCGTCATCCGGCTGCTTGCTCCCTTTGTCTTCATCAATACTACTACATATATGCTGATATATGTATATATATATATATATATACACATACATGTTAAGCTAGATATCCCTTTTTGAACGATGCCTGGTAGCATCAGGAACCACGCCTGTCAAAGCATGCCATATGCTTGTGACTAGCATTTTTGGCCGGGCACCTGTCTTGTTGGGCATTGGGGTGCACTGCAGGCAACGTTCGATGTTTTAGCGAGGACAAGCTGAGGCGTCAGCCCGGAACTTGACAGATTGCTTATCGTGGTTTCAAGGATGTTTTCCAACATGACAGGCTTCCAACTGCTACGTGCCGGCCAATGTTTGTTTGATTGCAACATCAACGCAAAAGCGACAGGACTGGAGCAGGGCAGAGATTTGCCCCTGAAAAGCGATGGATGGCCTTGGCTCGGGATCTTGGTCTTGCTTTCCATGAGCGGCTCCCGCGAAGTCGTCCGCTTGCTGATTTGTTTTGTGACTTTTGCAGTTGAAGAAGAACGGCGCTGCATGACATGCAGAACTCACAGCGACTCTTCACGAATAGGACCCATTCTCCTACTCTGTGGTCAAAGGATGCCTGATGTCAGAGGGCTAATTTAGGTCCGGCACTGGTATAGATGGTGTGAGCAGACCAAACATCAGCATTTGCTAATGCCGCCATCAGTCGTCCCAAACACATACGTTCTGCAACTAGGCGTAGCTCAAGGATTGCTGAGCTGGGTGCTGTGGCCAACTTGGCTGCAGCCGGCGGCGGCCGTGGCGATCGGCACATGTCAGGGGGCGGCACGACACGCCCTGCCAGCCGCAGTAGGCCGCCACACCCGCCACGACTGCGAGCATCTTGCTTGCCTTTGCCATTGGAAACACGAGGGTGAAGAAGACTCTTGCTCACGTTTGAAGAGATGCCAGCTGAGGTCTGGCCTTGTGGTGGCTTTCAACATCATGTGCATGTACATTCAGGCGGGGCACTTTGAAGAAAGCGTAGAAAGGTCTTTGCTTGGTGGTTGTTGTTTCTGCTAGCGTCCAGGATAACGGCCCACAGGTTCTGCGCGTTTTCTTGCGTTTTCTTGCCGCGTTGTGTTTGGTTAGGGGGTGGGGTGGGGTGGGGTGGGAGGAGGGGGGGGGTAGGGGCGGTAATTTCAATCCCGCTGTACTTGTGTGCATGCTCACAGGCGTCGGCTCATGCTGCCCAATGACCACGTAGTGCTTGCTTCGGGCTTGGTTCTCTTGTTACGCATTTTTCAAATTTCCTGTCAATCTTGAGTCCCATGCCAACCTTGTGCTGTGGTTTCAGGTTCACCCGGACTACTGCGACCTACCCTGCTCTTGAGGTGACTTTGTCCATTGTGGGGGATCAGCGCTGGTGACCCCATCATTCGACATTTTGTCTTTGTCTTTGCCGTTTCTGTCGTCGTGTTGGCGGTCCACTTTGCGTGACGTCGTGGAAACGCTCTCGCGGTCTGTCCGGGTCTCCCTGGCGGGCGCGCTGTTTGTGTTGTCTCTGACGCTTGCTTACGCGTGTCCAGTTTCCCTGTAACAGAACGTTGTGTTTTGAAGCCCTCTTCGTAAAAGAACAATCGCAA